AATACTACAAAATTACTAATACTTTGACTAAAATCAAAAGGAAACCAGAAACTATAAAAAAATACTAAGTTCAAAATATTAATACAAACTATAATATGATGCTAAATATAAAACTACTCAATGATACTAAAATAACACTGCTCACAATGGATTTCAGAAGAATCTGAGGTTAGCATGTTGGTAAGATAAATGCAAAGCAATTCATTTTTAATTACACTTTACACTATATGGCTTCTTGCAACCGGCTTTTTGTCCAAAAAAATCCTCAATTGTGTGGTGTCATTCTCGTTATTTTACTGCTCCCGATCGCGTCGGAGCCTGCATGATCCCAAATCGGAAAAATAAAATGTTAGATATTACACTTCGCTTTTTTTTATAGATGCCTTCCATTATTAAAAAAATAATAGGAGTATAAAATCAATATAAGTATATAATCAATGTTCCTCTCACCTCATTTTCCATTTTTGATTTACTTATTTCGCTAAGGATGATATATGCCAAGCCTTTTGAATTTGGTCAAAGCAAGATTTTTGAAGAGTCTGTATAATTTAGTTGCCTGCCTTGTGGAACAGCATTTGTGTCTATGATGCCTTAAAATGCTGCCTCTCTAAGTAGCTCACTAGGTTTTGTGTACTCTGTGTACTTACTCGGTACTAGAAATAGTGCAAGCATTTTTTTAATTTACATATTCAAATATCTTTTCTTTTTTTTAGGTTGCACATAATGTGTAGGTGTTATTTTTTGTGACGGGGGCTATTTTCTTTTATTATGGCCTACTTAAGCATATCCAAATTTGCTCACTAAGAACCTGTGAACCGTAATCCCAAACTGGCAGTTTGATTTTCTGTATACTGAATTGTTTACTTAAAGTAAACTTGTTTGAATAATACTTTTTCTAAAATTATGGTCCTACCATAATTTAAATAAATGGTCCCAAATCCCAATATATGCACAGTATCGTGACCGTGATATGTATCGTATCGCTTTGCCAGATTCTTGCCAATACACAGCCCTACCGTACATTATAAACTACTACAGAACAGAGCCATAATGAATACATTAAATGCATGGTTACTGTCTAATAATGGATGGCAACATCTTAAGGTGCTCACTGCTGTTTGTGAAGGTTTTTCTTTATAGCCATGAACAGCCCACTGGACTTTATTGCGTGTGGGCATAGAGTCAACAGTGTATTTCTCTTCCCTTCACACTGTATTCTGCTTTGCCCTCTTGTCAACATGTTTGTTATCTCTGGGATTTTTATGCATTTTTCCAGATCTGTGCTGTCATTTATTCAGCGATATACTTTTCTGATTCTCTCTGTTGATTTATTAGCATTTTTTTGCCAGTATTTCTGGTCTTTCTCTTTTGCTAATGTTTTTTTTTTTTTTTTTTTGACCCACACCGATTGCCCCTGACTTCACCATATCAGCTAATAGCTCCTCATTACATGATGGGGGTCCAAAGCAGATAGGTACAGGTGATCGGAGGACAAATGAGGATTCAAGGCGTGCCCTTATCAGCACAATTTCCTCTGGTATCTTCCAGCCCTGTCACTTCAAAGTGTCTGTGATGGATGGATGGGATGAGCCACTGAATGACTGTACTGGCTTCCTCGAGGTGATGGATGAAGGCTGCTCTGTCTGCACTCTACAGTGCAACTTTAAAAATGCAGCTTAAAAAGTGTCTTTTCAGGGCAATAGTGTTTCTGTAACAAGGAGATAGATTAACAAGTTGATTGGATATGTATTTACTGGTTTTAGGATTGAATATTAAAATATACCAACTGATCACCTAAGCTGTCACACGGGTTGTGCAGTAGGTGGTGGCATGCACCTTCAAGTAAGTTTAAAAAACCGCCTTTAAAAATGTAAAAGTGCGTGCAAGCATTCAAATATCTCTGCTGTTGTAGCTTGTGACACACGTTCAAGCTTTCGTGTTTACCATATTTGATACACCCTTTTTCACTCGAAAGTCATTCATATGCATCAATAAAATAAAATCTGTCATACAGGCCTATAAATATAATTACTTCAGTAAGTTAATGTACTTGAAGTGAGCACCAAGCATTGCATCTGGACTCTATCGGTAGATAGTCCATATTCAATTACTTGGATCAGATCAGGGGCACAAAAAAATTTGATCGGGACAAACATCAGATATTTGTGTGTCTGTGTTTATAATCCTTCCGAGTGTGAGACTCCTTTATGCACGCTTTTAATTTTGCTGTCTGCATCATGTCTCTGGGCCAGCAGTTTGAGCTCTAGTGATCACTTTGAATCTGTTTTAATTGTTATTTTCCACCACCCTGACTGCATTTGCGTATAGGCGTTTTTCTCTTGCCTCCCTCCTTTTCTCGTTCTCTCTGTCTCTCATTGCTGTGGAAATATGAATGTGTGCAGTTCCCAGGTTCCCAGTAGAGGTTATCATTAAATTATATCTCTACAGCACAAACATAGACACAGACATTCACACACCACGTGCCAGGCACCCAAATGAGCCTGCTGAGAAATTACAAAGTGTTCACCAACTATTTGTCAGTTGGCATTATAAAATGCCCTTTTCTGGTGGAATTTTTTGTTGTTGTAATTATTATATTATTTTAATTAATTATTAATGATGGTAATGCTTAATTTTAGAACAAAGAATTGTAAATGACTTATCTGTGAGCATTTTCTGAAATAAATTTGTGAATGAGAATGAGTCTGGGGATTTGCTTCTTAATATGAACATAAATATATACAGTGTACTTGGAGGTGCTCACTCAAGCAGAAAAAATAGGTACTGTTTGCCAAATCAATTATAGAAAATCATAAAATGCAGTTGAGGTCAAACTAATCAACTAAATCAAATGAACAAAAATAAAAATCTTAACTGTATGTTTTTATTTTATGTTTTTTTCTCAAACAAAACAATTTGTGAAAATCTGTTGAATACATTCATTATGACATACAATAAGTAGGCTATACTTGGCTACATTATCTGGCAACATGGGTTAAAAAACGTAGCTAATGTAAACATTGAGAAGAAGGATCGAAAAATGAATTTAATTTCCAAATAAGGTGGGAAAATGGGCATCCACACCTGCTGTGGTGTTTCTTATTTGTCGTCTCTGATTTTGGTCTATGTCATTCTCTTATGCTGTGTTCACATCCTGTCGTAACAATAATTACGGGATGGCAACTTGTCACGTCCTCAGACTCGGATTTATGTGTGTGGATTTATGTTACTGCATAATGTAAACTCTGCTGTGTGTTCATGTGTTTTGAAGAAGCCATGGCTTTGGAGATGCTCTGAAGGGATGCTGCCTATTGATATCCTAACATTCTATTGATATTCTCTACAAAATTGTATATGTATTTTTGTATATAAAAAAATAAAAAAAAAATAAAAATTATATATATATATATATATATATATATATATATATATATATATATTATATATATATATATATATATGAAGAGTTCAGATGCAAAAGCCTCTAAGTGCCATTTGAAATTTTCTTCTAGAATGATGATTTTTATCAAGCTTGTATATTGAAGTTCAGTGATTTCACTTAAATGGCAATGATAATTACCTATTAATTGTTATTTAAGTAAAATTACTGAACTTAAATATACAAGTTTGATAAAAATCATCATTAAAGAAGAAAATTTAAAATGGCATTTAAAGGCTTTTGCATCTGAACTCTTCATATATATATATATAGAGAGAGAGAGAGAGAGAGAGAGAGAGCTATATGTTAATAAAATACATTGATTGTCATACTTTAAAGCTACACTGTGTAACTCTTTTAGTTTAGCTAAACACACTTCAAAAATAGTTCTTTCAAAAATATATATGCTGATTAATGTATATTTACTTAATGTAAAAAGTATTCTCGTGAGTGTATAATATGCCATTGAAAATACATACGTGTAAGGGGTTCTAATGTCGGTCGCCATGTTGCCCCTCCATCTTGAAAGTACATTAGCCAAAGAGGGACATACCCGTTAATTCAAGCTTCGCCTTTCGCATTTACGTTTGAGTTAACGCTCATGGACGAGGTCCAACTGGAAGCCATGTTAATCTTGGACTACATTGGCCACCGTAGGAGTTAAAACGAAATTGAGAGGAACAGAAACTAATATTCACTGGATGGTCATATACCTTTTCACCGCTAGATGGGGGTAAAAATAATACAGTGTAGCTTTAATTTTCTCTTATTTGGCTGCAGCTGCAAGTGAGGAACTGGTAGTATTTGTGTTACGGCTTGATAGAAGACAAGGAGATACGGATCCTGCAATGTAATAAAACACATGACAGTCACTTTCACATAAACACACAATGTAAAGACAATTGCGAACACAGGGCAGAACAAACTGAGGGCATATATATATATATATATATATATATATATATATACAGGATAACGAGAACTTAAATAGAAACAGGTGTACAACATAATCAGTAACTAAGGTAACAAACAAATGATAATAACACCGCAAAAAGTAAGTAAAAAAAACGGGAAAACCACACATATATAAACCAAAAGTTCATGGAACACAAACTGACATTTTGCAACAATTACCACATGGAGAAACATATTTTACTGTAAGATGGATGTGTATTGGTACACATTATTTGTTTTTTTGACAGTCTTTTCAGACAGGGAGAGCCTATGACTTTGTAAAATGTTGTCAAAACAACATTAATATTTATAAAGTGGGCTGCTATGTTTTATTAGCAGATTTCAGAGAGCAGATTTGACAGTGAATGACAGACTTCATTGCTAGCAGCAATGCCAGTGAGATTGGCAGAGGTAATTAACTTGTATGTCCACAGAGGATGAACAATGACTGTCATGCATTTAACTGGAACAGTGCCTTTAATTAAAACAATTAGAAAGAAACATAAGAAATAGAAAAAAGAAGTGTCATGTTCAGATTTTGACCCAAAACTGTCACTATTGTTAGCCTTGAATTCCCGACTCGCTCCTTGACTCAGAACCCTTTCAGATTCGGCCGACCTGGCGTGGAGTGTTACTGTCAGCACGAGAGTGGATCAGCCGTCATCCAGCTACAGTTTCTCATAAATGAAGTGAGTGTTTCACATTTTCCCACTCTTTCTGTGTTCTGCTCAACCTAATGCCGAGAGCCTGTTCCCATGGAGCTTCAAGAGGCAGTTTGAATAATCCAGGATGAAGCCTCAAGAGGCTTAGATGATCCCTTAACCCAGAGCCTTTGCTGCCACAAACCCTCTTGTCCTCCAAAGTGGGCCTGGAGGGATCCTACAGAGGAAGCTGATATTACCATTTTCTCCCTAGAGTGTTGCCCACAGTCAAGACCACAGGGATCTCTTACATTAAGCTGTCTTGTAGATTGTGCTTCTTAGTGTCAAAACTATTAGCTCACTGTACATTCATGGGAATATTTGGCTATTTATTGAAGTTTTTCTTCTTGGATTCATTTAGCCATGACTTGTTTTGAGGATAGAACACTAAAGCACTTTGCTCTGTGCATGTCATTTTAGTCAGCATATTTCAGTTGTACACTACAAAAAAAGATATTAGATGTTAGAAAATAATAAATAAATAGTTTTTAATGCATTAAAAAAATCTTAAATACAGTATACACTAAAAAGATTTACATATTTAATACTTAAGTATAAACATCTTGAAATTATAAATTGAATTGAACAGTAAATAAGCTCCTTTTTTGACACACTTTAAACATGGTATTTTTTTGTTCTTCTATTTTTAGACCCTTTGGTGGTTGCTTTTATCTAAAGTGACATGAAAGTGCATTCAAAATGTGCTTTTTCTGTTATTGTTTTCCATGGGAATCAAACCAATGACCCTTGCATCAGTAGCACCATGCTCTCCGAGATGAACTGCAGGAAAGCTTGAAATAACACAAAAAATTGTTTGGTAAAATGTAATCATGGTAAAAGTTAAAACACATACACAACATATGAAACTCTCATACATTTGTTTTAGTTAATTTGCTAAAAGCAGTGTGAATGAAATGGTTCATTGACTTAATTTGATCTAATTGGTTTATGAAAAAATAATTTTCATTGTAAATTGTATCATGTTAAAAAGAACTTATTTGAAAGATCATACAGTATACATTTTATTTGAAATGATGATGTAAATAAAATGTAAAGATGCATTCCTAGTCTAAGAATGTGTAAAAAATATGATTAAAAATAGTTTCATTTAACAGAGCTTCATTTAATTGTATTTGTATTTTTTTTTTAGCTAAAATGTTATTTTGAGTTACTTCACACGTTTTTTAGAGTATGTTCTTACGCAGATATTTCCCTGTAGTTTGGCCTCTCATTTACACGAAAACCCCGTTTTTATCACAGAAAACTATATTTTCTAAAAACTCCGGCCAAAGTGGAGATTTCTGATAACGCCGGTTATGTGTTGCCATGTCAACTGGGAGAAACATGGTTCTAGGTTCTGAAACGTCACATTATGCGCCAGAAAATGCTTAACGTCATTTTGAGCGCCCAGTTTGCCATAGTTATGATCATAGATATACATAATAAAGGCTTTATTATGTATATCTATGGTTATGATGGCGCTCGATGGCGTATTTATGTGGGTTGATGTAAATGACAACTTTTTTGAAAACGATGTTGTGTGCAAAATGTTATTATTGAAAACGGATTGTGGGAAATATTCACTTCTCTAAATCCCCGGCTATGTGTAAATGTGGCTCAGTGTGTGTGTTTGTTTCTGGCTCAGCAGACCAAGCAGAGCTAGACAGACACACACACACCTGGGACAAAGCACAGACTTTTGTCTGTTTTATATTCAACCAGAGGAAAGGCAGTGTCTGTGTGTATTTGGTCTGAATATACCAGTGCCTAGATAGAAAGGAGATATTTTGTGGTAGTATCCCTCCTCCATCCCCTCTGTCTGTCCCACCCACACTGTCTCTCTTTCGATTTATTTTTCCACTCAGTTCTGTCTCTCTCTCTCTCACACACACACACACACACACACACACACACATATACAGTATTCACCTCCCACCACTGTATCTCGAATCTTCCAGCCCTCCAGAAATGTTGCAGATTGAATAGGTTGTCTCCACCAAAGTATGGTATGTGTCAGGGGCGTTTTTTTTTCTCCAAAAAGGCAAGAGAGAAAGCACCTCCGAAGACAATTAACAGTACGAAAATGTAACAAAACAAATGTATCAATGTGTTTTCAAACTGCAGTATCAGCGAATAAAGTTTCAGAGGGAGGTAGTTTGTGTTTTCAATGAGATCCTGTTGCATGAATCTGAGGAGGGTAATGGAAAAAAAAAATGGAAAAAATATAATTTTGTTTTTGTGTTGTTTCAATCATTTTAAACATTACCATCCAAAGGTGTCACATGATCCTTCAGAAATCATTCTAATATGCTAATTTTGTGCTCAACAATCATTTCTTATTATTATGAATGTTTAAATCAGATGTGCTGATTAATATTGTTTTTTTTTGTGTGTGTGTGGATTTTCTGTATTCTTTGAATAATAGAAAGTTTAAAATAACAGCATCTATTTGAAATAGAACTATTTTGTAACACAGGTCTTTAATGCCACTTTTGATTAATTAAAAAAAAAAACTTACTGATCCCAAACTTTTGAATGGTTGTATGTATGTATATATATATATATATATATATTTGCTAAAATATTACAAATATGATCATGTTGGTAGCTTTGTTAATAGTGTACAGTAAGTTACAAAATGTTTCATAAAGAAACATTGAGCGGTTTATATATAGTGTGTGTAGAGCGTAGTTAGAGTAGTGACATTTAATTTTTGACAGGATTGAAAACAAGGCTGTGGTAAAATACAGTGCATTCAATGGATTGTATCATTGTTTACCAACAATCTGATTGTTCAGCTGAAATTAAAATCTTTGAAAAAAAACTTTCAGTTTACAAAACTTCCATACATTAAAAAAAATGACATGATCTATTCTAGGACCTTTATACAGTGTGTGCCATTTTAAATACTGTACGTCTATCCTTCACAGCTTCATTTTCATCTGTGTTAAATTCATTATGCCATCTAACCAGACTCAGGTCTATTTGTAACGCTCTTTCTCTGTCTTTTCTTCTTTCTGTCTTGTAGGGGGCACTGGTTAGTGCTTTGGCCGATGACAGTATTCACATGTGGAACCTACGACAGAAGAGACCAGCTGTGCTGCACTCGCTCAAGTTCAACAAGGAGAGGTCAGCCACGGTCACTTAATCTACGCTTGCTCTGAGCGTGTGTGTGCAAGTAGACTGCTGATCAGTGATAGCGTAACATGACTGTGTGTGTGGCAGAACTGGTGTTGTGGAGTCTGTGGGCCCACACTCACATCTGATACCTTTGTTTCACTCTTTCACTCTCTTATTATTTAACTTGACTTCCACTTGCTCTCACTGTTGGTACCCAGGTGCAGCTGAGAACACAAAAGTAATTTCTTTGTTGGTCACATAGTGAGGCGAGTCAACATGTGGTCAAGTTTGTAAACTTTTGTGGTGGGAAAAGAGCTAGTTGAACTAATCAAGGCAGAAGCCTTATGTTACACTTTTGAAGGATGAAAAAAACAAACATATTATAATGTTAACCAAATCATTTAGATTTAAAGCAATATTTTACCAAAAAAAAAAAAAAAACCCTCCTTGAACTGCCACCTTATCGTGGTGGAGGGGTTTAAGTAGCCAAACGATCCCCAAGAGCTATGTTGTCTGGGGCTATATGCCCCTTGTAGGGTCTCCCAAGGCAAACAGGCGCTAGGTGACGGGTCAGACTAAGAGCGGTTCATAAGCACATTATGAAGCAAATAAAAAGGAGGACCGAGAAGTTGCCCAGCATGATGCAGGGTTGGGGCTCACATGCTGGGCTCAGCCCGAAGGAGTGACGTGGGGCCACCCTCCCGTGGGCTCACCACCTGCAGGAGGGACCGTAAGGGGTCGGTGCATAGTGGATCGGGCAGCAGCCGAAGGCCGACGACCCGATCTCTGGACACGGAAACTGGCTTTACGGATGTGGAACGTCTTCTTGCTGGCGGAAAAGGAGTCTGAGATTGTGCGGGAAGTTGAGAGGTACCGACTAGAGCTAGTCGGGATCACCTCAATGAACAGCTTGGGCTCTGGAACCACACTCCTTGAGAGAGGCTGGACTCTCTACCACTCTTGAGTTGCCCATGATGAGAGGTGAACGAGAGGGTCGCTTACCTGCGCCTTCGGGTCAGGGACAGGTCTCTCAATGTCGTGTGTGCCTATGGGACGAACTACAGGAGTCATCATTTTTTCGGACAGAATTTCTAGGTGCAGCCAGGGGCCTGAGGGTGTCCGGTTTGGGGACCACACGATTTCATCTCTGCTTTTTGTGGATGATGTTGTCATGTTGGCCCAATGAGACCAGGAACTTCATCTGGCTGGGATGAGAATCAGCACCTCCAAGTCAGAGGCCATGATTCTCAGTCGGAAAAGGGTGGCTTGCCCACTTCAGGTTGGTGGATAGTTCCTGCCTCAAGTGGAGGAGTTCAAGTATCTTGGGGTCTTGTTCACGAGTGAGGGAAGGATGGAACGGGAGATTGACAGACGGATTGGTGCAGCTTCTGCAGTAATGCGGTCGATGTACCGTTCTGTCGTGGTGAAAAAGGAGCTGATCTGCAAGGCGAAGATCTCGATCAATACTGGTCATTCCTTCTCTCACCTATGGTCATGAGCTCTGGGTCATGACCAAAAGGACAAGATCCCGGATACAGGCGGACGAAATGAGCTTTCTCCGCAGAGTGGCTGGGCACACCCTTAGAGATACTGTAGGGTGAGGAGCTCGGTCACATCGAGAGGACGCCGTTGGAGGGATTATGTCTCCCGGCTGGCATGGGAATGCTCCGGTATGCCTCCGGAAGAGTTGAAGGAAGTGTCTAGGGACAGGGAAGTCTGGGCGTCTCTGCTTAGACTGCTGCCCCAGCGACTTGTTCCTGGATAAGTGGAAGAAAATGGATGGATGAATGGATGGATGGATGGAGTTTACCAAAAAAAAAAAAAAAAACTCTTTATTCACTCCGATGTTGTTTCTAAATCTGCATGACTTTCTGTCTACTGTGTAACGTAAAAGAAGATATTAAAAAAAAAAATGTTCCATGACACAATCCCTTTGAAAGCATAAAAATATGATTATTTCAAACATGTCTTCATACTAAGGACACTTCAATCAGCGTTGTAGATCTGTGGCAAGAACTGAAGAATGTGTGAGACCTTTAATCACACTCATAGCTATAGATCAGTGCAGGAAGGTTGTAACCTTCTGATTCGGTTTGGACAGCTGTTGACTCTGATAAGAGATGAGCCAGCCCTTCACTTATAATCTGCACTGCTTCTCTTGATGAGAGTGACAACTCGCCAACAGCGCCTTTCAGGGTCGAACAATTTTTTACCACATAACTGTATGTGTGTGTGTGTGTAGGTCTGTCTGCATGTGTGTATCTGCCTCAGAAAATACAGGCAGGGGTCATAGGTATAGGACTGATGTGTCTGTGTGCTTGACATTTAGAAAGTGTTTCCCTCTGCGACCTGCCTCGTCCCCGAGGCTACAATGGGGCGGCTGTGTCCCTGAGTGCAAACAAAATGTCTCTGTGTTGAGCTATAAAGTTAATATGAATTGGTGTTTAGAACCCATTTTGCTTGCGTAATGCGATGCATTTCTGAGTGATTTAATTAAATATTACGATAGTTAGTATATAAAATACTATATATTAAAAAATGAAAATAAAAGTAACTTGTTTTTTTCTCTGAAAGTACATCCCTTTTCTACTCGCATCACTCTTAAAACAATTGAGAAGATGGAATAATTTATTCTTTAAAAAAGAATATTTATCGATTACAGAGATGCAACTATGCATAAATAAATAAATAACATGATTTGTTTACAATTAGTCTGGGATCACTTTGGATAAAGTGAATGAAAAGAATTCTGAGGGAATAAATGCAAAATGTAAATAGAACTTCAGATTCATCTCTTCTCCGAACGCTTCTTTTGGAAAGTATAATTTTGGGAGGAACAAAGTTTGACCTACTGTCAGGACACTGTGGGCATCACACAAGCTGACGTTCTGACAGGAAGCTGTCGGAAGATGTTACAACAACCAGAGAGGTATGAGAGAGGAACAGCCTGTTAAAAAAACACTCTTTTCTGGGCTAGACAGTTAAATTGCTCCCTGAAAAAGCTCTCTAGATTGCACATTAAATCCGATATGAGGCTGTGTTCTCTAGAAATGCTTTTTCTACGCTCAAAACATTCCAACTCAAAATAATTAAACTGATTTAAACACTGCACATTGGTCCCTTCAAATGTTTACAGAAGGAAATTAATTAGAGCTCATTCGATGCAGATTATTTTCTACCATGTTGTACATGTGCAGCTGGTCAATTGTGCATTTTGGTTTGCCTCGAAGCAACATGTTGTTTTTGATTATTTAGAAATATAATCAAATATAGTCTTTGTTCAGTGAACCTGGTGTCTCAAGCATTTAGATTTGTGAAATTAATTTTCCCACATGAAGTCGAAATGTTTACATTTCTGGAGCCGTTTTGATTTTACGTACACTGTTTTACAGATGAAAGAACTCCATCTTGGTGCTGTAACAATGAATGATCAGGGAGGTTGGCATGTTTTTAAGGTTTTCCCTGAATGGATTTGTGTGGGTGTCCCTGCAGGACGAAGGCTCAGGAAAGAGCAAGCAAAATGTCAGAGTGCAGGGCATCGTCTGTCATGCTAATACACTCATTTAGCTCATTATCACACCGGCACAGAAGCCTGAACACAAACACACACCTCACTCTCACACATGGACGGCTGTTGATGTTTGTGAATGTGGTATGTCTGGTTGGTTTTAGAGAAAAAAGGTGGGAGAGACACAATGAGTGTGAGTTTTTCTGGGCCAGGCTTTGCCGAATTTGAAGGGACCAAAATTTGAATAATTTCTTAATGAAATAAAATACAGCAAGGTTTTTTTTTTTAGAGGATTGAAAATATCATTAGCTTAGTATAAAACAACACAAATCAAAATGGAGTTTTCTATCTTAATAAAAACAAACATATGTTTGTGTATTTTGAAGTGGCCGATAAATCTTGCCTAGTCATCCGGGATGTGCAGATGTACACTTGCAGATGTCATGTTGAATTCTCTTTACATGATATGCTCTCAGAGTGTCATGTGCTGGTTTGAGTTGGTTATCCACAACAATGAGGCTTGACATTTAATGAACACTAGGAACCAAAGATATATACCAGCAGGAAACGTTAACACAAAGCGAAGAACAGACGAAGACCAGGGGCTAAATAAAGGACAGGTGTTGGTGATTAGTTGACATAGTAACAAACAAAGGTAACTATAGAAACAAACAAGATGACAACAGAAACAGGAACTAAATCACAGGAACTGAAACCAGAAACATCAAAATACACACCAAGTGATGTGATCAATGTTTTCTCGTGCTAATTAATGTCAGCGATGCTCTGATAATTTTATCAGTAAAATAGTTTAGCAACTTAAAAGCTACATGTTTCTCAATAGCAAGGTGCAGATAAACGTAGTTTTGTTATTAGTAGACACTGGTGCGTATTATCCATAGCCGATCTAATGCCAAGAAGTGTTTGGCAAACGTACACCAGTTAAGACTAACATCCATTCAACCAGGAGCAACAAACGGCCGGCCACACACACTGGCGCCATCTTGTGTGCATGAGATATATTAGGCTGCTGTCACTTTAAGACTAATGCACGGATCCAATGTACAGTACTGTTACACTTGTGTATCAATATATTATCTTTCTTGATGGTTTATGCTCACTTAAGACACAAACTGGCATGTTCAAGTGCAAGCAGACACGAAAGATTTTTAAATTCAGTATTTGCACGCTGTCGTTTCATTTCTGACGTGCATTTCTGGGTGTGCGCTTTGGATGTGTGTGCACAGAAAACTGAGTTGAGTTTCCCTTCTTGAGCTTGAATTTTTAACTTGGAAAGGATTACATTTTCGTGCCAATGCAGCACTGCCCCCATCAACTGTACCGACCGTTGTTTATGTTTGTTCACATTCTCACAACATTTCATTAGTAGAATATAATTCGTAATATTACCTGCACACTGGCGATTGACACCGTTTCATGTTCTCGCTAAAAGAGGCGAGAGGCTAATGCTGCAGTTGTGCATGTAGAGCTGTGTTTATGAGTGCATTTTGAAAGTTGTTTGTGTGTGTATGCTCTTGGTGTTTTTCATACATACTTACATTAAAAACATTACCTGTGTAATTTCTCTAAAAGCTTTTCAAGAGGGAGAAAAATAGAGAGCAGTCAGGAGCAGCCCAACTTGTGACATCTTTCAACGTCTTCTTCAAGCTGATTTGTGTGTGCGTGTGAGCGTTTGTCTGTCTGAAAGACAGAGGAAAGAAATGTGTTGAGTTTGATGCATGGTATTTCTCTCAACACTCTTCCAGTCATGAATATATTCATGATGCTGCAAGGTGCTGGTGTGAAGTGTTGGGGGCAGGTGTGTGCGTGTGCACTAGTGTTGCTGGTAAAAAGGAGTGTGAAAGGGGTGAGAGGCAAGCCGTTTGCACGGCACCAAAACAAACAAGCCTTTTGTTCATAAAATGATACCATGTGGACTACCTTTTCTGAAAAAGCTCTTGTCCATCAAGATGCGTGTGAGTTTTGGAAACCGAATATATATTTATAGACCTAAGACTGAGTAATATGTCTGTTTTAGTGGTCATTAAAAAGAACCCCAGCCCTTTACTCCAGTAACTTTTTTCCTGCAGTTTTGTCCGTCTAGGATGCACTGCAAAAAATTTGAGCTAACCCTTAGTGGTCTGAGCTGTTTTCTGGGTCCTGGAGGTGTTCTGACATGCTCTGATGTGTGCTTTTTTTTTCTGTTACTTGAGACATTTTCATGGCTAAAGTATTATTACACTGTATTCAGCTCAAACTCTGCTACAATAATATGTCAGCAGCATGTATGTACAATTTTGTAGTTTTGAGATAATGATGTTTATGCATGGTAGAAGCTCAGCTAAACAAAGCTTTTTTTATGCTCAGGAATGACATATTACATTCAAACATATTTGGTTGAAAGAAAATTGTGTGGTTCCCTCCTTGATAAAGCAATTAAAATAGCCTGATATTGAATGTACTACATTTTATATGCTTTAGGCTTTTAGTGCAACCTTATTTTACCTGCGGTTCTCACATGAAAATTGTATTTCTCAAAGGATACTCTTTCATAGCTAAGGAGACTTGATAGAGCTGGAAATTATGCTAGGGAAGTTATGAAAAATCTTAGATATGTCTCCCTTATTTGCCTCAGGGAAATAAACGAATTAATCAATTGCTAACATGCAGTAAAATTTGACTGAATTTCATATCTCAGGTAAATTGGTCTTGAACTAAATGTACACGAGTCCATCCTTCTACATCCAATTACCTTTCCACGTAGGAGAGAAAAGCATCCCATATTTTATCGAACTGATGTGGTTTTGTTATTCCAGAAGAAACTTTCAAGAGCATAAGTTCCAGTGTATCCAATCCATTGTGCTCTTAAATGAGGTTGCTCAAATATCTATGTCGTCTTGCAGTGAATTTTGAGCAGCTGAACCCTAGAATTTAAAGTATGATATATGAGAATCCCTAGAATACAGACTGCTGGATCACGATTAAGCGATCCAAATAATTAAACAAATTCTCTGATAGCATGAGACAAAAATAACCTATGACACCTGAGCATACAATGGAAATATGTAAAAAATGTGGAATTTATCTTATAAATATAGATAAAAAATCATATTACGATATCAGTGGAGACGTACAGTATGCGGCATTTGTGTTTTGCATGTGAGTGGTTCTATTCATTTATACATTTGATATATTATAAATAATGTGTTTGCTCTTTCTTCATCCCTCTTTTTTTTAGGATAACGTTCTGTCATCTGCCCTTCCAAAGTAAATGGCTGTACATTGGCTCGGAACGAGGAAACATCCACATTGTGAATGTGGAGTCCTTTACCCTCTCAGGATACACCATCATGTGGAACAAAGCCATTGAACTGTGAGTGCCACACACACATTTGAAATGAAATGTCCAGAAATATGATTTGTAATGTATCACGTGTCCCATCTGTCATTGTTCCTGTAGCCTTGTTATGTTTTATTTGTAACTAAGCGATCATTTCAATCAAGTGCCATTTTAAATTGTCAATTCACCTGCTCTCCCTCCATCGCTCTACTTATTCTCAGAGTTCTTCAATTATTCATTTGAACATTTTGTCAGCAGTTTTGTTTTCCTCCCTGACCCATTGAAAATGCTGCAGTGCCTTTGAGACCCAGACAGTGTAGACATGCGCGCACACAACGACACACATGCATTTACAGGTGTCAGATCGGATTGTTTTAAGTATAGACAGATGTCCTGTCCCACCTCCTGCTTTAGCACTTAGGCATACGAACACTAGCAGACAGACACATTGTTTCCCTTGCGACAGGAAGAGACAGGATTGTTGGAAGAGCTGCTCTGCCCTTTGCAGTTGTACCTGTAGTGACAGACTAAAGGGGGCAAGTCAACATGGCTTTACTCTCGTGTCACTGAGGAGGGAATTTTCTCCACTGTCTCTCTGACACACACACACACATATGTCAATAACAAAATTAGCATAAATCACATTTACTGTAATGGCCTTACTGGAATTATTGGGCAATAAATCGGGTAACAGTTTCACAATTGTAAAGAATGATACATATTTTGTAATGGGAGGAGTGTCATGTGATAACAGGGTTGTACATTATGTATTTTATGGCGGTAAAAAAATATTTGGAAATGATCAAATTATTAAATTAAATTAAAGTATTTAAAATGAATAACAGTTTAGAGGGTTAAACATCGGTGTTTGTTTAACTTTATGCTAATTATTTTCTAAATCAATTACGCAAACATATCTAATACTTCTTATATTAAAAAGAGTGTCTTAAAACCTGTAAACCTCCTGTCTATAAACACTCAAAATGCACTTAACAGTAGCTACGCCACAGCACAGCAGCAAACCAAGATGGTCTGTGCCTGCTTGAGAGGGAGAAATCTGGCATGCTACTCTGCTGTAGGGATGATAACATGATGGTGAGTGATGCGGGCATGATGCCAGGCATTGAGAAAAACAGTTTGCTGCTGCAGGTATTAAGTAGCGGTGAGTTGTTTTAGAGTACGGGGGCATGTAGTTTGGCACTTGACTGTGTGGGCTGTCGGGGGATTAAGGGTGGGCATAATGGAGTGCTGTGATGCCACACAACAATCTTAGGTGGTAGGGGTGGATGAGATGACAAAAATCTTAAATCACGATATGAGCAATTTTATCTCACGATAACGATATATTTGACAATATGGTTATTTTTGCTTCAAATATAGGTTTTTATATCACCAACATTTTTGATACCATTGAAATTTCATAATTATTTTCACCAATGTCCCAAAAAACTAATACTAGCCTTTGTAAAAAAAAAAAGACAATCTTACTGAAGACAAGTTAACAGTCCATAATGAAATAAGAATGAAACAACTAATTACAACAAGCAATAGGACAACAAACTACAACAGAACAAGGAAATAGACCTATCTGAAAAACGAATGCACGGGTCCAATTACACATGCGTTTTCTTTCTCAAGATGTTTATGTTCACTTAAGACATAAATGACTGTTTATGAGGATACTTGCAAAGCAGTATATGTGCATTTAACCATTGAAGCCCAATTAGGCATCAAAAAACAAATTTCTAACAGTTATTCAAGTCTACCAGTATATCACCCACCACTATTAGGTTAAATTTTAAGCTGTACCCAGGTGCACAGACAACGGCACAGGCTATCCAAAGCCAGGCACAAAGAATCGCATCCATGCCCTCCAGACAAGCAGATTGTCTCTGCAATTCGAAACGAGTATGTGCATGTCTGTTTGTGTGACAGCGCTGTCATAAATCCAGCTCTCTTCCAACAAAGACAGTGTATAGATCTCTCCTTGGCCAAGGTTGAGAAGACAGCAGTAGTTCGTGAGGCATGTTGAGATTGTACATCCAGTCATTAAAACAGTATATACCAGATACCTTTATGATGTTTATAGAAGATCTATTGACCGTCTAACATCCATTTCAGACACTCAATTAGCACAACATATGTTGTTGCTTAAAGCAAATGGATGCAATCGCTTAAAATGTGAGCAAATTGCATCCTGCATTCTGTACGCTTACACATGTACCGATGGGAGTGGATGCTGTGCTGTGGTTTTTCCTTATGACAGGAAATTAAATTTCATGTCAACATGCGTTCCTTATAATCAGAGAGAATTTGTGAGAATGGGAGGTACGTGCTTTTGCTGTAATCATTATGTTGGACCTCAGAAAAGGATTGTGGGTAAGAGGGTGTATGTAGGTGAAACTGGTGAAATTATGTAATCATAAGGTGTCTTGAGTGAATGAGACAGTGCGGAGTGAGGGCGGCAGTTACAGAATGAGATTTTGCCCGTCCTATTCTTGTTGCCATGGTGATCGGCTCTCTAAATCCAGCCTGCTCCTCCTAAAGTAAGGGCTAAGCGATAGGAGGGCACTGTGGGGACGTAAATTAGGAATCTTGAGGTCTAAGGAACAAAGTACTTGACAATCCGTCACTCTCTCAACATGATCGCCACCTTGACCTTTTTGTGTAGGTGCTAATACTCTCTCATTCTCTCTCTTTTTCTTTCTCACTCACTCTCTGCCTCTTTACTAAACACACACATGCATAAACAGGGCTCAGTTTTATACCAAATTGTTGACCTCATGAACTGAGTTTGGTTTTTGTCGTGTGAAGGTAGGTTCATTTCTTGATGGAATATACTACACCACAATCATCAACGCATGCCGCAGATGAAAATGGTGGGATAGGCTAGTCTTCTTCTTCTCAACTAGATTACCAGAATTTTTATGACATCAGACATACAGTAGGATGAATTATGCTATTTTCAAATGTTTTTTTAGAAAAGGTAAACGTTGTTTGACTGTATCTTAACTGAACATTGTGGTTACATATATTTTAAATAGGGCTGTGCAAAAATTAATCGCGATTAATCGCATCCAAAATAAAAGTCTGTGTTTACATAATATATTTGTGTGTGCTGTATATAATTATGTTGTATATATAAATACACACACATGCATGTATATATTTAAGAAAATGTGTTATTCAAATATAAAATATTTATATTTATATAATATAGATTATGTATTATTTATAAATATATACAGAATTTAAGCGCAAATAATTCTTAAACATATACATGCATGCATAGGTATTTAAATATACAAAATAATTATATACAGCACACACAAATATATTATGTAAACACAGACTTTTATTTTGGATGCGATTAATCGCAATTAACTTTTGCACAGCCCTAATTTTAAATAATTACTAGTATGTTTATATTTAGGGCTGTCATTTTAAAAAGCTGTCATGCTCCCTGAACTTAGAATTTTGCCCCCCTGCCTTTTGTAATTAGGAAGCTTCCTCTTATAGGAGCACTTCAAGCTTAAAGCTCAAGTTTGTTTTGTAAAAAAGCATTTTTTTTTTGTGCCTTTTTAATATATTGAATATTTTAACTGACACAATAATACATTTCAGTTATCTTTATGTGAAGGATTTTTCAGCAAATATTGGTTCAAGTTCAAGTGAGCTTTATTGTCATTCTGCTATATGTGGAGACATGCAAGGGAACTAAATGGCGTATATAAACATATAAAAAAGACATAAACATAACCTATATACATTTATACATAGCTAACCTATTTATAATGAGTAATCTAACTATACATAAAACTTTAGACATACTTGAATTTACACATGAAACAACACGTAGTGCAGTGATAGGGGTGGTGATGGCGCAGTGGATAAGACACATTCCTTTGGTGTGAGATACCTGGGTTCGAATCCACTGTGAGACACCAATGTGTCCCTGAGCAAGACACTTAACCCCTAGTTGCTCCAGAGGCGTGCAACCTCTGACATATATATCAATTGTAAGTCGCTTTGGATAAAAGCGTCAGCTAAATGATTAATGTGTGAATGTGTGATACAGAAGATGAACGTTCAAGGCAAAAACAGTGCAAACAGGGATGGTGCAAGATGAGAGAAAAATAATTAAAGTGATCAGTGCACAACATGGAGAGATGAGAGTATTGCGGGAGGGGGATGGTTTGTAAGGCCCACTTATCCACATATCTACTCGCTAACATAGTATTGCACGTAAGAATTGCACATGAATAATTGTAAACGATTTTGAAATGAGTGGTCCTTGGGGGACATTAGCAGCCAGGGGTTAATTGTGTGGTGGGAGTGTTAATATTTCTGGTTCAGTATGTAGGGGTTCAGAGGAGCGCTGGGTGATTTGAGCACACTCTAATGCCCCTGTAGAACGTGGTGAGGATGGGTGGAGGAAGACTCGTTCATGGCGTCGGAAGTTGTTGGGCCTTTGAGAGTGATTTTAGTGTTGGTGAGATCATCTGTGATGTTCATCCCCAGAAATGTAGTCTCTCTTCACAGTCAAGCTGCTGATAGTCGGTGGGAGTTGTTTCTTCTAAGTCCATCACAACCTCACATTTAGGGATAGGTTGTTTGTGCCACGTCATTCTGCATTGCAAGTTGTGCAACTTCTTCTCTGTAGAGCGTTTCATTGTTGTTGTTTCTGATGAGGCCTATCACAGTCATATCAATGCTGAGTTAATTTAGTCATTACATTAGAATTTGTGAAAAATGTATATTAATTTTGAGATTTGCTAAAGATTCCATTGGACAGTGTTATTGTTACATTTAACAATGTTATTAAAGAAATTATATGTGAAAATACCATGAAGACTCCTCTTAGTATGTCATTTTGAAAAGGTGAGGGGTCTCATGTTACAGATTTTTATTCCCGCTGTATCTGTCAGTCACATTTCAGACACTCAACAAACACTGAAGGAGGAAGATGCAGATCAGGACCCCTGTCAGTCGAACCTCCATCACCATAACAGACTTATACTGCTCTGTCTCTCCTCATCACGCTGTAGCTCAACAGAATGAAACTGGAGGGGAGAGAAGGACCCCTGTCTATGCCACGGCTGTCACCACTATAGGCGTCTAAGCCTGTGCCTGAGAGCCGTCAACAGCACAGTTGGCCTGCTGGGCAGTCAGAGGGTACAAAGGAATAAGACTCCTGCCAGTACAGTCAATGCCTTATGGGTGTCCACAGTATAGTCCATGCTAAAGTAACACCTACTGATGGCAAGGCAGCATGTTTTGTAATGTTTAGAGAGAAAGAGACCATAGCCGAGTGTACCAAAACAGCTGATACACTGCCTTTTTACAGTGCCGTATTTATTGGGATGAAATATTTTGCTCTGTTTCTTAATTAATGTAATGAGGGTATATTATTCATTGGCTGTAAATGAGTGGGCAGTAGTGGTCTTGTAGAATCTCTACACCATTATGTCCCGGGGAGACCTCAAAGCTTCTTTTATGTATTTAATTACATAATTTAGCTGTGAATAATCTTGAAGTTGAAACTGACTGTTTGAATGTCAGTGGAGACTTGTATATTTCATATTTCAAAAGCCAAATGGTGTAAGTATGTGGTTGTAAAAATTCATATTAGTTTCGTTTCATTTGGACAACGTTAAATATAAGATGCCTCTATAGGGGCCTGTCATGAATTATTCGTTGCATTATGTAAAACCCTGTCATTTTAAAGAGCTTTGCATGGCAATAATCCCACTCTTGGATTTTAAAATGTATTGTTAAAGAGGATATTTTTTATTATGAAAACCTATTTCAGTGGTGATAAAACTATGATTCCAGCTAGTGCTGGACTTCTGGGGATTTGAATTATTATTAAACACTCTCAAGATTTAATATATCATGGTTTTGTTTGTTCTGGCAAATGTTTTGATTGTTCATTGAAGATATTTGGTTGTTTGTTTGGGTGCTATGGTGTTTTTTGTGGGACATTGGTGTTTTAGGAATAGGTATGGGTATGTATTTGAATGTTGGTGTGTATTGAACTGATGTTCATTTTATGGTGCATCTTGGGAAACATAATCATACTCAATACTTACATTACACAAATGACTGCAAACACTACGATTCCAAAGTTTGGGGTCATTTAAAAAAATACTTTCATTTAGCAAGGATGCATTCAATTGATCAAAAGTGAAGTAATGTTATATTAACTTTAAATTCATCACAGAATCCTAAAAAAAAAAAAAAAAAAAAAATCATGTTTCCACGAATACATGGAACATAATAAGAAATGTTTCTTGACCAGAGCACCATATCAGCATATTATATTGGTTTCTGAAGGATCATGCAATACTGAAGGCAGGAGTAATGATACTGACAAATTAAGTTTTGCCATTACAGGAATAAATTACATTTTAAAATAAAGTAGAAAACAGTTGTTTTAAATTGTAATAATATTTCACAATATTATTGTTGTATCTTTATTTTTGATCAAATTAATGCAGCCTTGGCGAGACGTCTTTTTTTTAAAAAAAACATCTTATCGACCACAAACTATTGAACTGTAATGTATATTATATGTAAAAACATTTGTAAATGTTTTAAAACATGTCCTTTCTCCTTAGTTTAGTTAGTACTCTCTATCTCACACACTTAAACACATCCACAAGGTGTTTCCTCACTATCTTCTTACTATATTTTCAGTCATGTGTTTCTTCGATCCTCTCCATGACTAACACCAATCCCAAATCTGTCTCTCTCCCACAGGTCCTCCAAGGCCCACCCCGGCCCAGTCGTTCACATTAGTGACAATCCTATGGATGAGGGCAAGGTATGGAGATGCCTGCAAAACTACATAAAAACAAATCAACACTTCTTGACATGAATAATTCATTCCCCTTGCGTCGCACAAAGCTTTTGTTTCTTTCCATTCTGAACTCATAAGACATTGCTTTCCTATGGTGCAGCACAGTTCAGTAATTGGGTCTAATCTCACACAGCTTGTTAGCAAATTATGTTGTTTTTGAAAACAAATGATTGAGAAGATATGAAGAAGATGAACAAATGCTCCAGCTATTTCCAAATGCATCTTTTTAGACATTCATTTTACCTTCGCTAATTGCCAGTGCACAGTCAGATGGGAGCAGAGAGACCGGCATGCACCTGCTGGGGTTTTGCCTTCGTATGGATGACAAACTGTCTGTCTGTTTCTCTGGCAGCTGGGTGCTCCTTATAGGCGCCTTTACAGTGATGATCCACTCTCTCTCTCTCTCTCTCTCCCATCCAACATCTGCCCCTGACCAGGGCATCGATCCATAACAGGTCCGCTCAGTTCTTAATGGGTCTTAAAGTCCTTAGAGACATTGTCCCTCCCTCTTGGCTGACAGAACTCTGACACATTATCAATTTATATACCATCACTGAATCTCTAAGAAGAACAAAGTGGTTTAATCAGATGACAGGAGACTTGTTGTCATTAAAAAAAAAAATGTTTGATAAATTTCCTGTTCTTTTCCATGCATTTACAATAACTGTGGACTGAAGCTTTGGAGCTTAGGAAACAATGCAAAAGCACAATAAAAGTCTTTTGAAGTCATACAGTAACTTTGTGTGCAGGATGCTATTTAAAATAGAAAGCAAGACATTCCAGAGAAAAATAAAAGTCATACAGGTTTAAATGATATAAGTTTAATTTCCGGGTGAGCAAATTCTTTATTGATAAATGTAGAGTTGATTTATGAAGATTATAACAACTTGCTTTGCACATTTCTTCCATGTTTAGAGCAGATTGGTTTGTCTGATTTATTGATTTTGTTTGAGAATGAATGAAGATTTGTTTTGGATTAGCAATTTTCTCTAACAGCTATTTAATATTTACTTTGCTGAAACACATTATTTACTTTTAGTTTTACGTTGCTACCTGCATGAACTCTCATCAGTTTGCAGGTCAGGTTTACAGACTGACGGTGTATTTTCCTTCTTTTCTTTTTCCTACCTCATCTTTCTTCTCGATTTAGCTCATAATAGGATTTGAGTCTGGGATCGTGGTGCTGTGGGATTTGAAATCAAAGAGAGCTGAATCCCGGTACACTTATGATGAGGTATGTATGTATATGATGTTGTTTTCCAGGCTCCTGACGCCTGCAGTGGCACAAACGCTTGCGTCACTCAAATATTCATGAGATGTTTTGATTTTTAATAAAGGACACTGATTAGGTCTCTTTTAGTGGGTATATAGTTCTTCAGCTTGATACTGCGGCGTCAAAAGAACTTCTTTATTTTAGGAGAGGCTGGTTCTTCCTATTGTCAATCATTCGTTCATATTGACAGAAATGTTGGGGAGAGACACATTATAAACCTTATCAGCATGACTCATGAATATTAATCAGGTTACAGAATGTTCTTCCAGCTGATTTCCTGAAAGGCAAAGTAAGCAAACAACCATAGAAGGATTACAGTTGTGTACAGTTTGTTCAGTCCACATATCTTGCCTGATCTTAAAACAGCGGTAATAAATTAATTACAGATTTGACAAAGGACACAAGGCAAAATTTGTGGTTTTAAAGAAGTTTCTTATGCTCACCAAGGTTCCATTTCTTTTTATAAGTAATATAAAACAGTAATGTTGTAAAATATGATTACAATTTAACAATTTAAATATTTTTTTAAAATAATAAATGTCTTCACTGACTCTTGATCAATGTAATGCATCATTGCTGAATGAAAGTACTGTATACATTTCTTTAATTAAAAAAAAACATACTGAGCCTCAAACTAATGAATGATTGTTTTGTAATTACATGTAGCTCGTGACATTTATAATTTTGTTAGAATATATTTGTACCCAAGATGCAAATTATGAACAATGGATCTTTTTTCCCTGATTTTGTACTGTAGTACTACTAGAGTACTACAGCTGTAGTCCTTTGAGGAATTGAGGAAAGTCCCTGTCCATTCATTTGGTCAATATCTCTTGAATTAATTGTGAACACTTCATTTCAGCAATTTATTTATTTATTTTTCCATAGAGTCGTTTTGTCTTCATGTCCTGGGAATTATTTCCATGCATCTGAAAAAGTCCCCGTAGAATATAGTTAATCTGCCACTCCAGTTTAAGCTGGTTCGATGGCTTTTGTCAACAGTGGCAGCCAGCGTGCATTAGTTATTATGATGAGCATGATGTGCCCAAAGCAAAGTGCAAAGAAATTAAAACCAACACACACTCTGCTTTTTTTTCCATACAAGCACACACACACACACATCAAACCCATCTCTTATTGCAACGTACTCATTGGTGTGTAAGCTTATGTGTGTGTGTGAGAGTTAATTTCTCGGAGGACAACTCATCTGTACCCTGAAGAATGTCTGTGCCTGGCTGGATGTCTGATTTATTCTTGCCTTCATTTAACTTGATTGATTAGTACAGCAGAGATAAATGTCCCACAATTCACTGCTCCGTAGGGGTAGCAAGGTGTCATTTCGGCTCAGCACAGAGTCACGGCTGTACCATGAAACACCATTGCTTGTCTATCAGACCCCCAATAGTGCTTTGCTGTTTATAATTATGGAGGAGAGTCCAGGGCAAGGCTCAGACAGGTTGATCAGTCTTTAGTGATGCAGATGTTGCCTGGGAACCTTTTTTATCTTTGAAGGGGTCACAGAAGTGCAATAGACAGCAGAATTAACATCATATCAGATCATGGGAAGCTATTAGTGCTGAAGGGGTCACTGAGGTGCAGTGAGCAGCAGAATTAGTACTGAGGCGACGAGGAGCTATACTGTAATAGATGGATGGAAACACTGAAATAAAGAAAATGAGAGCATCAATGTAAGTAGCATAAAGGATGTATGGACAGGCAGTTTGTCTGTATTTTTCTGTGTAATAGAGATTTTTAATGATCTAGCTTTCTCCATCTTCCTTTCCCTCGTCCTCCTCCTCTGTCATGTATTTAGTTTTGTGTGCATAGAGTGAGATATACAGCAAGTAGCCAACATTTTCTACTTGCTAGCATATTCTAAACTGACTTTTTATTTTTACAAGCCTTTGCTAGGGAGTTTATGATGATTTATATGGTATTGCTTTCTGGGCCAAGTCCCATAATGTGTCCCATGATGCTTTAGTGGTGTGAGAGGTTGCTAATAATAATAAAATAATAATAATAATATGAGTGATTTTTTTAGTGCATTGCTGTGTGGTTGCTTGGGTGGTTGGTTTCTAGGTTATTGTTTACTTGACCAAGTTAAAAGAGCCTAGGGCCAATGTACTGTATATGTGATGCTTTAGTATTGTGAGAGGTTGCCAGGGCATTGCTATGTGGTTGCTAAGGTGTTCTGAGTTAATTTTCGGTCCACATACACACGGCAACTAATTGTGGTTGTCAATTCACCTTTTAGTGCTTAAAGGGATAGTTTTATGGAAGAAAATTAACGACAAATGTTTTTGAAACAAAAAAGCTTACACTACTTGGAAAAAAAATTGACCGTGCTTGTATTTAATGCATTCTATTTTATTACATTTTTATGGGGTGAAATTCACATTTCACACACATTTTCATTATTAAAAATTCAATAATCCATATTCACCTTTTAAATTTCACTTATTTTTTTTTTTATTCTCTTTAAAAATACAACCTATAATATTCGACGGGCAATTTTCGGTCCGTTTTATTTAGCTTTGTCATACTCCAGGATTCCCCTGCCGACCAGATATATAAAATGCTTAAGAACTAATACAATGATATAAAAGACCAAACTCACACCTTGATAAGCTATACTATATAGGCTACAGGCAAGCAGATGGACAAAACGTGCAACGTTTCTCTCTAAGAATTTCCCATTGATAAACTGCCATTACGTTGCACATTAACAAGCACTTGAAATTAATGTATCACTTTTTTATATGTATACACATTTACTGTAGTAATTCTTGGGGCTGTTATAATGGAAAATAGGGCCTGTTGACCTTGTGTTGAAGTTTGCTTTAGGAATGGTGTGGTTTGTGTGTATGAGGGCAGTGGCAGCAATATTTTTGGACTATAGAGGCGGGTTGTGGCTGCCTGCAGTGAATCCATCAGACCTCTTTAGCTGTAATTGGGCCTCTGTGTGCGTGCATGAGTCAGAGGTATGACAGTGTCACGGTCTCTGAGGTGTCTCTGTGGGTATCTCAAAGAGTGTGAAGAAGAGAGAGAGAAACATTGAGAGGATAGAGTAGAGGTGAGGTATAGAAGTCCTGGTGTCTTTAAGGTGTCATTAATAAGGCAGGCCGATTATCCTTCAGCCCTTTCTCAAGCACACACACACACATGCACACGTCCTTGTCACTTTATGAGTATAATTACAATTCAGAAGCAATTGAATACTAGTGTACTGCAGTGTATACAATGATATAACCAAGGAGGTCAATGATACCTGGTGAAATTTCACATTTGTGAATTTTAAGAATCATCTAAATGTGTCTAAAACGTTTACAGCCTTATTACGTTTTAATAATCACTCTAATAATGTGATTTAATAATCACAAAGTTTTTTTAACTTCAAGTATATTTTTTGTAATATTGTTTTCCTACTTAGTTTGCTACATAGTTGTCATATGACCTGCAGCTCAATTTTTATCACAGAAATGAAATTGGTTTCCAAATTTTAAATCATGATAATCTGATCAAATAATGTTAAATATATGGCTGATTGTCACGGGTGTGGAGCAGGCAGAAGGAACTGGAGGACTCCAGAGTCACAATGAAGATACATTTAATTCAAAAATACAGGCAGGAAGACGGGGTACACTGGGCAACATTCAACATTGACCGACAAAGACTGAATGGAACAGAGGGAACTAAATACATGGAAGAATCAAACATAATGAGGTGCAAACAGGTGAAACAGATGAAACAGGACGCTGAACGGGAGGCTGATGAGGGAGTGAGTTCAGGTGTGCAGACGAGAGGATCATGGGAAGTCTAGTGCAGGAGACGCAGACAGGATGGTGCAGACGCAGACTGTGACACTGATATTAAGCTACTTGCAGTTTATTCATCATACTGGCAATGGAAGGTCTAGTCAAGCACATATACTACGTATACTGCATAAATAGAATGTACAATAGTAATAACCACTAGTATGTAGTATGCCATTCTGAATTGTTTGCTTCAAGATTCTTTTTTTATTTTGCTTTAAAAAATCATTGCATGTCAGTTATAGCATAAATGTGCTTTTGCTAAACAACAAAATGTGTTTCCCAGCCATTTGATCTCTACCTCCAGAACATATAATATTCAAGCAATATAATCCCTCATAATCATAGTTGGGTGTTGTGAATGGAACTGTGCATAAGCATATTTTTCTGTGTGATGGTGTGTGTCTGTGTGTTCGTCTGGCTCCTCCTTTCTGGATGCTCCTGTAATGATGCTGCACTCGGTTCATTGATTAGTTAGGTCTGCTGAGGTTCGTCCCTATTCTCTGCCTGAGACAGAGATAGAGCCGCCATCATTATGCTAAACAAGAGGAGACTGTGCTTAATTAGAAAATAATGAGAACTCTCTTTCAGCCTTCTTTGTGCTTTCACTCGCTCTCTTTTCTCTCGATCGCATGAGTCGCATGCTGTGCATTCTCTCTCTCTTTCTCTTCCCCTTGATTCAATTCTATTCCATTTATTGTGCTATATTGGCCTGACTGTTTTCCCCAGAGTTTTGCTAAAGTCTTTTGTCAATACAACAACTGTACAGAAGAAAGCTATAAAAAGCAACAAAGGTACTGATGTGAGGAATTATTGGAAAGTATATACTATATATATATATATATATATATATATATATATAAAGAAAGTATTTCTTATCCCAACATACCCCACCGTATGGGCATATCATGTCAACCTGGGTAGGCACAACACACACGTAGTTCGTGTTCATGGACATACGGGTGTGAGTCATTATTAGGAAATCTCCCATTGAGTTGTGTGCCCCCATGCAAGCATAACCAGCTTTAATTTCTTGCTCTTTTTCCTCTCTCTTAAATTGTCATTCTCACACACAGGCGATCCATTCTGTGGCCTGGCACCACGAGGGGAAGCAGTTTATCTGTAGTCACTCAGACGGCACACTGACCATATGGAATATAAAGTCTCCAGTCAAGCCTGTACAGACAATCACGCCACACGGTTAGTGTTCTTTCTTTCTCTCTGGCTCTTTTCTTCAAATTCATGTTTTTTTTTCAGGATAAGCAAAATCAATTGGTTTTATGTCTATTTCACAAGGTTGTATCACATCTCACTCAAAGACTTGGTAATTCAGGATTGTAATTTGATCCTCCCTCTTTCCAACATGAAACAACCCCCTCACCCCCCTCACCCTTACCTGATTTCCATTTCAAGTGAAGCTTTAATTTTCAGCCTCATTTTGTTCCCTTATGGAGACTGCCTCTGTTGTGGTCTTTAGTGATGAGTGAGGTGAGGTCATGCTCCTCCTTTTGGCAGACATCCTTGTCTGCTCTATTGAAGATTCTCCACTGCGGTCCTCTCTTATACAACAACCCCTTCAGCCTCACCCTGCCTCCATGAGAGAAGCACATCAGACAGCCAGATTTAAAAACAAAGAATCATAATTGAATAAAAAGCCTTAAAATATTGTCAGATGGCTATATCATTTGGTATGTTCAATAGACATTAGTATTAGAGACAATTCCCATATATATTTAAAATCTAATAAACAGTTGTTTTAAATATTAATTTAATAGTTCATCTGCTTATGTGTGTGTGTGTGTGTGTGTGTGTGTATATATATATATATATATGATTCTTAGTGAATATATGCTTTTGATTAAGTTTGTGTGACATTGAATATTAAAAAAAACCTTATCAGCAATTATGTATAGCTTATTTTTTTTAACTGATAGGTATATATATATATATATATATATATATATACACACACGCACATAGATGCCTCATTTGCTGTTTCTATGGGCAAATATGCGTAAGCTGCCAGATTTTGCTAAACTAACATAATATAACAAAACTTTGTTAGCTAATATGACATTAAAAAGTTACCATATTTTAAAAGCCTATAATATTTGAGTTAATATATATAAAAACAGAAACCAACACATTCTCAGCTGTGAAAGGTTATCCCATTTCTTCTGGAATTGAAATATCTGCGGTTTTACATCCACACGCTTTGCAATGTTGTGGCATGTTAGAAAACTTTCAGCATCTAAAATGTTGACTGTTCCAAGATGGCAGACGCGTTGACGTGTCTGGATCGGTCGAATGTTGAATCTACGTATACATATCTATGTCTTTAATGCTGTAAAATTCTGCATTATGTCTGTGAAATGTTTTTTTTTCCTCTGTGACACACTTCCTGTGTGTGGGAGAGAGACACTGTCCCAAATGTCACCCTCAGTCCTTGCAGTCTTCCTTAATGCCCACTTTTGTAATTCTTTGCTGTGAAACCTTCTTCTTATATGCCAAATGAAACTTGTGTAATTGAAGACTATTGAATCTGAAGCCTTCTGTATGCTTATATATATCCCTAAAATTAACAGTATTTCCTATGTTAATTAGCCGATTGGCTAATTGAAAAAAACAACAACATTTACAAGCTCTTTGATAATTTTCTATTTCAAGAGGAAATACGCCCACACAGGAAAGACAAATCTCTCGTTAATCAATTTCACAGGGTCTTCAATGAGCTATGATCCATATCAAATGCACTATTTGGGACAGGGCCAGAGAAGGATGTCTACAAATTTTCTAAATGAGTCTGATTCTTTTTCAGGAAAGCAGCCTAAAGATGGAAAAAAGCCAGAGCCTTGCAAACCCATACTTAAAGTAGAGTACAAGACCACGAGAGCAGGGTAGGTACATGCTTGTAGCAGTTTTTTTTTTTTTCCTTTTACTGCTCTTAAGGCCATATTGAATTTTCTGAATGCTGGTCCAGGCTGTTTTTTGCTGATTTATGCTGGTTAACCATGTAGATCCACTTACTTCTAGATGTTTTTAAATAAATGCATGCATGTCTGTGCATATATAATGGAATCCATTATTGAAATATGAGATTTTAAAATTAATTTGAAGCTCATTTAAACCTGAAAGTAAACAAACAATTACAGCATAAAATAAATTAGTATTCTGCATTACAGTATTTAGCTTGCAAGCAAGTCAGCAAACTTGTCTAGTTCATGCAGCTTGAGTGCTGCTGTTGTTAAAGGAAAAGACATTGTTCAACTTTTCATTCATTGTTATGCTGATAACATAATGGAAAACTTTTGAAGCTCACTGTACAGTATTTGTTTGTATTCTGAACAGGGAGCCGTTTATGATCTTCTCTGGTGGTTTGTCATATGACACTGTTGGTCGACGGCCATGCTTGACGGTCATGCATGGGAAGAGCACTGCAGTATTGGAGATGGACTATCCCATTGTAGATTTCCTCACCCTGTGTGAAACGCCATATCCTAATGGTAACGGTCACTTTACTCATTGACAGCAACTGCTTTGTCCAATATTGTTGCAATAAGTCTTTTTTTATCTCATGCCACTTCCTTTCTTTTCTTTTTTGCTGACCTTTGTTTTGTTGGGTTGTTTTATTCTTTCATGTTCTTTGTAGATGAGCTTGAGCTCTCCCAGTGGAACTGCTGCCTAGTAATTACGTTTTACATCTCTGTTTTTGAAAGCTCCCTCAATTCGTAACTTTCAGTTTCAGTTTTCTAACTGCATTTGTTTATTATTGCAATACACATTTGAATAATTTATCACTTTGATGCCTATTTATGAATAGTAAGTGATTTCTTTCTCTCTGCAGGCAGCTGTAGCAAAGGCTGATGCAACATTAGTTTTACATCAAGTATAGTTTTTATGCGGCTCTTTAAAGTGCTTGATTCCAATTGGTCAATCTCTGAATTTATATTTTTTTTTCTGAAATGGCTGCATTGACACATTTTGAGCATTATCCGTGCCTTAAAATGAAGGAAAACTGAAGTAAAGGAGCTAAATACACTATTGTTTAAAGTTTGGGTTTTTAAAATTTTTAAAATTGTTTAAATGTTTATTTTATTGTTTTGATTTAATGTTTAAATTTAATGTTTAAAATTTATACTTTTATTCAGCAAGTGATGCATTCAATTGATCAAAATTGACAGTAAAAACATTCAATAAATTAATTTTCTTTTGAACTTGATATTCATCATTTTTTTTAAATACGTCACTCTTACCACAAAGATATTAGGCAGCACATTTGTTTTCATCTTTGGTACCAAGACATTTTTCTTGAGCACCAAATCACCATATTAGAATGATTTATGAAGCATCATGTGAAACTGAAGCCTGGAGTAATGATGCTGAAAATTCAGCTTTGCCATCACAGGAATAAATTAAAGGAAAAAGTTATTTCAAATTATTGTAATATTTCACAATATTACAGCAAAATTTTACTGTTTTTTTTTTTTTTTTTTTTTGTATTTTGGATCAAATAAATGCAGCCTTGGTGCACAACTGTCCCTAGATTTTGAATAGTACTGTTTATATTAGCTAAGTAGTCCATAAAAAAGGTAACTTGTATTGCAGATTTTTAAAAAGAGTGATATATGCATTTAATCGCTAATTGTTTTCTATGTTATGCTATATCTGCAATAGACTTAAGCAGATGATTTTGCTAAATGTAACACAATACATTTACTTATCTGAAGCTTTAAGCTAAGACAATAAAATTATTTCAGATTAAACCAATAATTCATGTCAATGTATTTATTTATTTTAGTAGCCATGATTTGCGTCATATAATTTTTTGGTCCCACTTTATATTAAGTGGCTTTAAGTACCATGTACTTACATTGAAATGAATAATTTGATACAATGGACTTATTGTGTACATACATGTTTTTACATTGTACTTATATTTTAAAAATACCAGCATGTAATTACATCTGTAATTACACAGCTGGCCCATCCCTTACACTTAAACCTACCCATACCACCACACATGTCCCTAACCTTACCCGTATCACACCTCAGTAGCACCAAAAGGGATTTACAATACAACATGAGCACAATAAGTACGTTGTACTTATTTTTAAAAGCCACTTAATATAAAGTGGGACCAATTTTTTTATGTAGATAATGACCGGCTGACTGGACTTTATCCCTTACATAACACCCTGATCATTTCAAATAGCTTATGATTTAAAACAATATTTTAAAACAATTATTTTTCTTGTGATTCAGCTTGCTTTCATACATGCAGTTGCGCCGACAGTTCTTGCCAAAACAGCATCTCTGCTCAATCATCTGAATTAGAGGCTTAAGTGTTTTTGTTTAGAGTTTGTGTTAAGCCGAACTAAGAAGCAGTGATGAACGCAGGAGGAATGGGAACAGTGTTTACAGTACTGCTTGCGTAATCTGGCTCTTTTGATTAAGCTATATTTGAAGTGGAGCGTCTTTATGTTCTGACTCATTATTGAGACATTTGAGCGTTTCAAACTCATGCAGTGACGTCTCCAGTCGTAACTTTTACAGCTAAAAACATTTTGCCAATTGTGGACTTACATAGACTGCTAAGTATTATTATAATTATAATAAAAAATAAAATTCTTAAGAACTATTCTAGCATGCTGAGTTGGTGCTCACTAATTATTTATTAACTATCTATGTTGAAGACAGTTGTGCTACTCAATATTATATGCGTTAAATGTTAAACATTTATTACACAGATGTATAGCCCCCATGTATTCATGATTTTACTTATCCCATTTATGTTTCTCTGCAGATTTTCAGGAACCATATGCTGTAGTAGTTCTCCTCGAAAAGGATCTAGTTGTTATTGACCTTGCACAAAATGGGTACGTATCACCCACAGCATTTTTCTGACTAACATGTTTGACGCTATCACACTTTTACACTACACTATCAATCTGTTGGTTTTGACCTGTGATGTTTTTTTTTGTAGTTACCCTATCTTTGAAAATCCGTATCCCATGATGATTCATGAGTCTCCTGTGACGTCTTGTGAGTACTTAGCCGATTGTCCTGTGGACCTCATACCTGCACTTTACTCTGTCGGGTCTCGCCAGAAACGACAGGGCTACAGCAAAAAGGTACAACAGTGTGTGCACATTTAAATATGCAAATCTGATAGATAATGATGCCTTTAAGATTAAAACTTCATGCCTAGACATACAAACTTTGGCTTTTGAGTGACTAGATTGCGGCCCCTGGTGAATCACACCATTGCCCCATGCCTGTGTGACTTCAGACCCCCGTCGTGCAGCACATTGTGTCCTCAGACTGTGTGGGTCAGAGACACAGACAGGGGTATTTATGGTATGAAAGAAAGCATGAACTCTCAGCCAAGACTGGAGTGTGGTGTGTAAGTCGTGGCTTCGTCTCCCACAGGGAGCAGGTTAACTCAGACGGCCCACTTTGAATCACAGCAGTTCTGAATACCTTTGAATAAACTGCTTCAGCTTCCACGCCTCATGAGGAAATGCTTTCCTATAGAGCATCGCCAGCCATTTAATAAAGGTTCCACCCACATTGCAGAAATGTTTTGTGGCTGCCAGTGCCAGTCATTATATTAAGAATAGGCTTACTAAAATGTACAAATTGGGCGCTTTCTTTTTATTAAGTTTCCCAGGAATGCTCACACGCTTTAGGGCAATAACTACTAAATTTACCCTATTCTCATATGTTGAGAAATATCAGATTTATGTGGTTAGCTTTCGTGGATTTAAGCACTTTCCTGTGGTTCTGTTGTTCATCACAGGAATGGCCTATCAGCGGCGGAAACTGGGGCCTGGGCACACAAAGCTACCCTGAAATAATAATAACTGGGTAAGAGCTGTGTGTGTGTTACACTTTCTGCACTGTTCTCTCTCTTTTGCTGTGTGTAGTTCTGCTGAAATGGCAGAAATGGGAATAAAAAAGACTTAAATGATGTAAAAGAAGAAGGCAGGGTATATGGAAAGGGAGGAGGAGCACAGAAGAAAGGGTAATGAGCGGGACAAGATGGTAGCGAGAGGGAAGTATGACAAAAAAGTAAGCATTTTCTGATGTATTACCCATGAGATGACAGAATCTATTTTTCGCTATTTATCTGACATAGCAACTTAGCTTACCTCAGTGGTTTGTTTGGATACATGTGGTAATAGGATATGTGCTATGTGGGTGTGTGTGTGTGTGTAAGACAGCTGAAATAAAAGATTATCTGCTCTTCTTGCAGGCATGCAGATGGTTCAGTGAAGTTCTGGGATGCTTCAGCAAGTGAGTACAGAGCCTTTCTGAATTCATATTCACCTCATTTACCCATTCTGTGCAGTATAATAGTTTTATTTACCACAATGTGTGCAGTTTAATGGTTTTCCAAAGCTCATAAACCTCCTTTATTTGCATCTGACAGACGCATTTATCTAAAAACAAAGCAGTTGTATCTCAGATCTTTGTTTCCTGGGAATCAAACACCACTGACCTTGGTATTGCGCCAAGCGCTATTATTTTGACCACAGCAAAGACTGTATTTACACCAAAGCAGTTCACTCATATTATGACGAATGCGAGACAGGAAAATGCAATGTGCAATATGGCGAAATAAGGCAATTGGTTAAGTCAAACAATGGAAACAGTCAGTGTTCTGAAACGCGCACTTAGGACTGGTTTTACCAGTCTTAAATACATGCTTTTTATTAGACAACTTTATTTGAGCTATTTGAATAAAATTTATGGGTCCGTTTATAGTGGTTTTTGTTGCTGATTTGAAATATATTACTTAAATTGATTTTGGCAAGCAGTTTTTATTATGTTGTTATTTCCCCATTCAAGTTGATAGGAGAACCCAGGCTCAGTCAGGGTGTGATTACACAACAGTGTGTGATTATGATTCAGGCAGCATTACAGGTCAGAAGTCAGATTGGATCAGGACATTCACAATATTTATCCAGTTCCATCTGGATGGAGGTCATCACACCGGTATGGAGACGAGTTTGTTGTGGTGTCCATGATGAGGCCTTCATAGGGCTGATGAGGCTGGTCGTGTCTAGGCGCAGATTCACAGTCTGATCTGGATACGGCCCGGATCCGGCTGACTTCAGTAAACCTTGGAATAAATGGAAAGACTAACATTAGCGTAGATGCCATTCTTTTTATGATATAATGAGTACATCGGGTGTTTTAGGAAGTGTCCCCGGTTCCGGCTGACCTAAGGAAAACCGCTCTAAATGTGGCCCGTGAGTGGTTTTCTTTGGACTGGATACAGTTAGACGTTTGACATTGTTAAATATTTAATTAAATACTGGATTCTGCTGACTGCTGTTGGAGTATACCTTGACAACAAACATCACTTAGGCTACCTTAACAATAAGGTAATTTTCCATGATTTACGACCCAACTGGGGACCATATAATGTCACACACACAAAACTCACCGGATCCCACCGGCTTTGTCTAACCTTGTGCACCGCTGAGGGAGACCAGTGTGTTGAGAGTGTTACCTGTAATTGGCATTTGACCTTGTTTAAACTGTGAGCTTTGACAAAGGTTTCCACTTTTCCTCTGCCGTAGGTGCTAAAAGACATTGTAATAGTACGAAAACCACAAAGGTTGCCAACCCCTCATGCAAGCGGTTGTTTAACATTCAAATGGGCTTTCTTAATGGTAGGAGCTAATTTAAAACCAAAGTGGCCCTCATTTTGTCCACCAGTGAAATATAAATCTAATTAGACAGGAAGTTTTAATCCTTCTAAGACAGAGTGGCTAATCTTATGCTATTTAATTTTTTATTTATTTATTTTTTTGCTTTGACTGAACTGAACAATTGGAGTCAGTGGATTAGAGGTCCTGAAAAATTTTACAAAACACATTTATGCATTTGAAGGCATTAAACCATTTCCCATCATCATTTTAATCCCCTAAAGAATTAACTGTACAAATCTAGAAGTTATAAGACTTTTGTTGTTTGGAATACTGGATTCCGATTTGTTCAATTGCAGTATTTTGTGGATAAACATTTTTGTCCAATGACTGCTAAACTGATCCTTGTCCAAGACAGCCCATTTCATATAAACTTGTCCTATCTTTTATGTCTTATATCACTCTGCAGTCTCACTCACAATAAAATAATTTCCATTCAAATTAGTTTATCCTTTTTTTTATTTTTTATTTTCTTGCTTATTTATTTAGGAAGTAGCCATGTAATAGAATAGATAATGTACAATCAGCTGGTTTAATATGCATAAATTTGCTTGAGCGTTACAGTGAGTGTTCGATGACTTGATTAAAAAAAAAATCTCTTAATTATGTGTGTTATTTACTGGTTGACTGTACATTATCTCTTTATTTATATTTCCCCATGGTGCTCAGTAATGCTCCAGGTGCTGTACAAACTGAAGACAGCGAAGGTATTTGAGAAGGCACGCTGTAAGGAGGAGAAACCCAGCTCAGAGATTGTGGATGAGGACCCGTTCGCCATTCAGTTGATGTCTTGGTGTCCCGAGAGCCGCATGCTTTGTGTGGCTGGGGTCTCTGCCCACGTCATCATATACAGGTTCAGCAAACAGGAAATCACCACAGAGGTGGTGCAGGTAAAAAAAATAGGGTTTATAATATATTTTCTGACTAATTAATTTATGTAACAATGTTCTTTTGACTTAAAAACTTTGTTTTCTGGAGTGGAATGAGTAATGGTGCCTTTATAGACACTCTTAAGTCTCTCTCTCTCTCTTTTCCCCTGTCTCGAGTTATTTTAGTACCCTGACAACTGCCATGACTCATAACGTTAATAATAATATAAAATCTGTTCATTAAATGAATGTTATTCAGTGTCTTGAATGTGTTGAATGCATGCGTTTGTACATGTGTTTGTGCCGTCCACAGAGCTAACTAAGGATATCCGAGGAACAGTTGTTACTCAGATGCTTAACGAAATCCCTAAGCTTTTCAAAGCCGTTTTAATTAATGTTCACCACGTCTATATTGAGCTTGAATAATTAATACTGCATTCATTTTGTCCTCTCAGTTTTTTTTGCAAGCTGCATATTTGCATACTGATGCTTCCGTGACCCATAAATAAATGAGCTCTTATGATAATGCCATTAGAAAGTATATCTGTGAATAATTTTAATTTACGTATAATTTATTGCAGGAAAGACTGAAGCAGTTAAGCAATTGTGCTTTATTAATGCATAATCAACGCAACCTATTTACATATTAATATGACTCATATAACCAGGATAATAATTAATCAGGTGTTCAAATACAGTCATATTAGGGACACATGTGAATTTCAGGCACAGGAATGAATCTGATTGGATGGTGGAGGCGCATGCTCAGCACAAATGTGGGAAAAACCATTAGCGTTACCATCGGCTGCTGACAGGATGTTCACACTTCTGTATAATGAGGGCAAATTAAACCTTTTAGCACCTTCAGTCCCGTGACTCTCACGCACATAGAAACATTCACTTGGAAGAACACACACACACCAATTAGCTTGTCTCATTTTAAGAATAGCGACACCGATGGGGATCAATTAACTCACTGCATTTAGCTGATTCATGCACATCTGTTCTAAAGCACACTTGTTTCGGTTACATATGTATGTGTGTGTGTGTGTGTGTGTTTTACAGTTACTGGAAGTCAGGTTACAGTATGAGCTGAATGATCTAGAGTCTCCAGATGTGGGAGGAGATCAGACACCAGCTCCTCCCACACCAAGCACCTCCCCCAGTCCACAAACCTCCGGCCCGCAGACACACCCTTCCACTAGCAGCAACTCTTCAGACGGGATGCGAGACAACATACCCTGCCTCAAGTAAGGCTGCTTATCTTTGTGAACACATTACGTGAGATCTACTTGTGTAAATGTCTAAACAAATTTCTAGACTTTTTTAATGCTAATTATATATTTTCGAGATGATTTAAAAAAATATGAATTTCAGAATTTCTTAGTTTTGGTACGTTGTCCTCTTGCTTTAATGACAGCAGCACTTGATCTGCATGAACTTCACAAGTTTATGTCAAACTTGACAATCATGTGATCCAGTATGATTTGATCCAGATTATCCAAAGAGCATCTTGTGTTTCAATGGAAGGAAAACATCTGACTGTCAATACAAAGGAGTTCACATGATCAATGTCACAAATCTGCTTATTTGAATTTTGATCTAGTAATATTGTAAAATGAAAAATAAATATCAAATTAATGATTTCCATTACATGAGAGTAGATGTTCTCGGCTTTCGCCAAGATAAGCACAAACTAAGACGTAGCTTTACAGTAAACTATGCTTCTCCATCCATTTATGCTTCTTTTCATATGGTGATGTGAATCTCCTTCTGTTCGTCGTTAACGGCTGCAGTGTACTTGCCGCGTCAGCACACATGACGGCTGCAACTACAGTGTGGTCTTGAGCCGAGTAGGGGACTTCGAGTGGGCACCTTCCGTCCTCAGTGTTTCGTCGACTAGCCCACGACACCTCAAGAGGGCTCGACATTGACTCTGGCGTGCCTCCTGCTGCTGAGGTTGCTCCTTCCTCGTAGTTCGCATGCGACCTAACCACAATCTCTCCACAACCCAACTGTACGCTCCAACCCGTTTGCCACTGTCTTCGTTACAGTAGGTTCAGTGGCAACGGTAATTCCTACTGCAAAACTCAATATCTGCCCAAACACCAACCCTCATTCACGCAATATACATAGGAACATGATAACTGTTATTACAATGCAAACTATACAAATAAACCAACAGACTCTTCAAGTTTTTCAAGAATTCAACGAAACCGTAACATGGCGGCTTGTACACAGCCAGCCAGAATCTTTCTGTTTCAACCACTGTCAGTTGCTACAGATAAGTTCTTTACTGTGCGCCGCAAGTCTTGGCCACTGAATCCGACGTCTCTGAGGAACCGGGTTGTAGAGTGTGCCACAAATCCTCGACAACCCACTTTCACTGGATAAACCTGGACTCTCCATCCTCGCTGTTCTGCTTCAGTGGCTAGATGAGCATACCGCTGTTTCTTCGTCTCATATGCCTCATCTATAGCATCCTCCCATGGCACTGTTAACTCTGTCAGTTGAACAATGCGTACCATACAATATCTGGTCGGAGGTTAGTGGTGGAAATCTCAGGTGGAAAAATAAGCCGTTGATCAAGATCAGCAAGGATTTTCTAGTCCCTAGCAGCTTCCAGTTGTCCTTTCTTTAGGTATAAAGACTCCACCTGCTCTGCGCCATGCTCTAGGTACAACCTGTTTTTCCCATGCCACTTTTATCAATTTCCACAGAATTCGTAGAACTCCTGAAGCACTCTTGTACACTCTGTATGGAACTCCATTAGGCCCTGGAGTTGATGAAGCCCTTGCCTTTCTCACAGCCTGCTCTACCTCTTTCCACTTAGGTGCATAGATTGATGGATAGGTGGGTTGTCAGATGGAATTGACATAGGCTCATGGCTTTTTGCATCTGAATGCGTTTCCTGCGAATATCTCTCTAGCTCAACCCTAGATGCTTTTAAAATTCCATTCTTCTCACTGGTGAATAACTTCTTTACGAATTTGAATACGTCTTTATAGAAATTAGCCCTCGCACGTTCCTTCTTTTTGCAAGCGTTTCCGTAGACGCTCAGCTCTGCGTAATGTTACCAGCTTATCTTTTATGGCTCTTGTAAGAGATTGAGTCCCTCCTTCAGAATTTGTTCTGCTCTTTACCATTGCTTCCTCAGCTGTCTCCTTTCTCTAACTAACCCTTCAATTTTCTGCTGCCGTCTAGACATTCCAGGTACTTTTCCTTCCTTTTTTCCACACCAAACCTCTTACTTCCATATGCGTAAATCCATTTACGCTTCTTTCCATGGTGATGTGAATCTCCAAGATTGTCAACCAGATTTGTTTAATTTCAAATTTTTTCCATGTTTAAAATGGTCTCTGACTTTTGGACCACAATATACATTTTGGTCATTTTGAGAAGCCAACAGATCGACCAAATATGAGTTTCTTGTTTAAGATGCCACATCAAGACAAAAAAAGTTGTACTTTTACAAACACATCTCAGGTCTCCTGCATTCTGTTCCATTCAGCTGTGCTCCGTCTAGCTTTTATTGATTGTGTCCTGTGTGTACGCCCCCTGTTCCTCTCCAAACAGAGCGTTGAGTGCTTTAGCTGCCACAGAGTGAAAGTTAGTGTGTTCAGTGCTGACACAAATTGCTGTCTGACAAATCTGACTAGGGTTGCCTAGTTCTGCCCCTTTTTTGGCATGTTTTCGTATAGTTGTTACTAGATTTGCTTGTTTTGAAGTTATGCTTGTTTGTTTTGAATAGTCTGTTTTTATCATTGATCATAAGGATATTGGGAACTCATGCCTATCCTCAAGTATGTAATATATCACATTGGGTTTACACTTTATATTAAGGTGTCATTGTTACATTGTAATTACACATTTAATTACTGAGTAATATTAATTAAGAACATGTACTTACTATAGGGTTAGGGTACTGTAGAACATGTTTGAGGGTTAGTTGCATGTAATTATGAAAATACATGTAACACATGTAACAAGGCCACTGTAAAATAAAGTGTTAACTCACATTGTATAATAAATGTTATACTTTTTTAGTCAGGGCCTGTCTGTCCTCTTTCTGTCACTCCCTTAGGGTGCGGAGCAGCCCTCTGAAGCAGTCTCCTGGGTATCAGGTGGAGCTGGTGGTACAGCTGGTGTGGGTCAGTGGAGAGCCGCCCCAGCAGATCAGCAGCCTGGCCATCAACTCCTGCTATGGCTTGTGAGTCTGTTTTGCATTGTTTTGTCAGGTGGTTCGGTGCTTAATACAAATAACTAAATCAAATGCTGCAGACTAGTTTCAGAATGTTTTTTTTATGAAAGGACAACATTTGCTTTGTTTTATATTTGTATTAAAATATTCTGATGTCAGGGTTTTCAGCGTATAACAACTTCAATGTTGGTTGGTTCTTCACACTAAACACAATGGTTCAAAAGTTTGTATTTAAACAAAATATATTAAATACAGGTAATATTGGAAATTTTTGTACATTTGGAAATAACAGTTTTTTTTGTCTATTATTACAATTAGAAACAACTTTTCTATTTTAATAATTTTTTTAAAAATATTTTTTATTTTTGTAATGCAAAGCTAAATTTTCAACTGCCATTACTTCTTCAGTGTCACATGATCCTTCAGAAATCATTTTAATATGCTGATTTGAAACTTTTCTTATTATTAAAAAACAGTTATTTTGCTTAGTTTAATTTATTTTTGTGGAAACCATAATAGTTATTTGATAAATAGAGTTTACAAAAGAACATAAATAATTTCAAATAGAAATCTGTTTCGTATCATATCATCCGTAGCATTATAAATGTCTTGCATCCTTACTGAATAAAATTAGTAATTTCTTTAAAATATTACACTTTCGAGCCCAAACATTTGTACGGTAGTGTGTATATATACTTTAATATTAAATTTATTATCACCTGTTTTTTTTTTTTTTACCTATATGAGAACAAATTTTTTTACATGCAATTTATAGTATGTTGCCTATGTGTGTCAAATACTTTAACTGAATCAATTATTTGAAATGATCAACTTGATTAGAATATATTTGAACATAATCAAATGTTGGATAATAGTTGTTGTTTTTTTAAACATGGAGGAATTAAATTAGAACACTACTTTGCCCTGGTTATTTTCTGACCCTGCTGCAGACTGTTTTTTGTTGTTGTTGTTTTATTTTCAAATTAAATTTCATGCTTGTTAAATTATATATAGCAATGAATCATCACACCGATCAAAGCTAAACTTACAGCAAACTGCCCATGCTTTTAAACCCTGCTGAAAATATAGGCAAATATGTATTGGATGCTGGTGCACTGCAGTGTCCTTGAGAAAGCGCCATGCTGGTTAACCAGCTTCACCAGATATGTTTTGGCATTATTATGCTGGTGCGCTAGCCTGGCCAGCAGTAAACCAGTGTAAACCATCATAAAACCAATCAAAATCTTTAAAGCAGAATGTTCCTGTGCGTCATAGGGTGGTGTTTGGCAATAGCAACGGTCTGGCGGTTGTGGATTACTTACAGAAGACTGTTCTGTTGAATCTGGGAACTGTGGAATTGTATGGATCTAATGACCCTTACCAGAGACAACTGCGATCGCCACGCAAGAGCCGACAACCTTCTGGAGGTCTGATATGCACACAGACATGGTTTCCATCCATAATAGACAGAGCATACACACACATATATATACAGTACTGTTTATATATATATTTATTTATATTTATACAAACACCATTGGCAGGACATGCAGCAGTGCACTGAGAGGGAAACAGTAATGTGACCCCTGCTGTTGGAATGCATAATTGCAGCTTAACACATAATAGTAAGAAAGAGATGATTGCTGAGACTTGGCAATGGACTGGTTGTTAGATTATCCGGTGTGTGTTTGTGTCGGGGTTAATGAGTGATATTTAGCGGGGGGCTGGGATCTGTCGGATATGCGCAGAGGGAGAGGGCTGATCAGAGCAGCTGGGTTCAGCTCCTGTCTGCCCATCTGCCTCTCAACTCTGAGATCAGAGCAAGGGCTACACACTGCACCTCATGTATGTGTCAGTTGTACTACCCATTAAAATATATCTTAGTCTACTTTTTGACGTAAAGAACAGATACTAGCACACATTACACATGGTCCATAGTGTGGCACTCATGTTTCTCTCTCTCTACTCAGGGCTTTGTGACATTAACGAAGGCTCAGCCACCTCAGAGGATCGCTGCAAGTCCCCCACTTCAGGTAAAACGTCTCTCAGAGCATGACACAATCCATACCGCCCACTAACACCATTATACTGATCAGTCCTGACTCTGACACTTGAGTCTGCTGAAAGCCACGTGTTATGAGCTCCACAGGGCATTTTAGGGTTTCAATCGATTGCTCTGTTCAGGACTAAAGGGATAGTTCAGCCAAAAATTGAGGATTCTGTCATAAATCATCGTCATGTTGTTCCAAACCACTTATGACTTTCTTTCTTCTGGAAAAGAACTACAACAGTGCACTATTGGCCAAAAGTTTGGGGTCAGCAAGAATTAATACTTTTATTCAACAAGGATGTATGGAATCGATTAGAAGTGACTGTAAAGACTTTTACATTGTTACCAAATATTTTAATGCTGAAAAAAGTATCACGGTTTCCTCTGAAATATCAAGCAGCAGAACTTTTTTCAACATTGATAATAATAAGAAATATTTGTGACCAGATCAGCTATAGCTATAGAATGTGCATGTGGCGCTTGTTTACTGTATTTTTGATTATATATATAATTTATAGTATTTTTAAAAATCTTACTGATCCCAAACGTTGTGTGTCAAATGCGTTATGGTAGTTTTGTGTGAAATAATTGAAAATCGGCATCTCTTCATGAGTTCATGAAGAGAAGTAGTGATGTATGATTTGAAAGTCAATTGTTCTGTTGAGTCATATTTTTTTCATTTAATTATTTGATCAAATTTACCAGTCTGCTTTATGTTTACAATTCAGACTAATCTGGTTCTTTAGTTGTTATTTTTGATCAAACAACACGAGGGTGAGTACATTGTTTTTTTTTTACACCAAATATCAAGTGTACACAACACAAGTGTGCATTTATTTTGTTCATATCTCTGCATTAGACTAGCCTCTGCTGAAAATCATTAGCAGTGTTAACATGGCACACCTTATGTAACACCATAAAACTTTGCGCTTGCGTCTGTGGAGGAGAACAAAAGTTCACAAAGGGTCACGGATGGGATGACTGATGATGGCTGGCATTGTGATGAATGTTAATGGTGACTGACATTGTGACAAGGTGCTCATGCCTGGTGGGAGGTTAGTGGTTAAACATCTGGGCTAGAAACAAGTTGTAGGTTCAAAGCCCTGAAGGGGGACCATTGTGCCCTTCAGCTAAACTGTCTTTTCATCAAAGCATTTGCTAAAATTAACGTCCACAGCAGTCATACAGACTGGTGCTGCTACAACTGTTAGGAAGTGGTTTCTGAAATGATATGCACAAAAGAACTGAAAATGTAGCCGCTGCAGCAAGTCACAGCTGTTTTTGTGGGCGTTAAGGACACATTAAATCTAAATTTACTAGACAACCGAAGCTTGTAAATGCACTGTAAAACACCACACTCTTACTTGAGAGTGCTTTTAGACTGCGGTTGATGAGGTATTGATTGCTTTCAGATACTGTCATCGAATTGTGTGACCAAATATTTAATCGAAAATGTGTCACATTATACTGTAGAGGTTCTACCATGAACTTTTTGTTACCTTTTAGAGACATATTATGCAAATAACACTTTCCCAGGGAGTTTTTTTTTCTATCTTTCACATTTTTAACCTTTACTATAAGATCACGTCTTCCTCTGGGGTGGGAAAAAGGACATTATTTGCCATCATTTTTCAAATTAGCATTGTTTCTTGCAAATATAAAATGCAAAAACATTCAAGACAAGGTAATTCTCTTTCTTTAGTTCATTAAGCGCAGCTGATGGCGGCGTTGATAAGCTGAAGACAGCCTAAAAACCTCCTTCTAGAATGAGCGTGACATTCACACTCAGAGACCCGGGCAGATCTCAAAATAGAGATAAGATTTGCTCCGAAAGGTCAGAACAGAATGAGAATGTGTCTCCAAAATGACTTAACCTTCAGTTAGAGCACAGACCTCTGCAGCTGTTCTCTCAGCAAGTGGTTTGATCAAATATTGAAAGAAGGTCCCCGTAATAATCGTGCAAATAGCAGTCAGTGTACACTTGCTGTAACACCTCGACAAGGCCAGATAAAGGACAAATGATTGCGATCGACACACGTTGTCTTTCACGTTATGATACTATTGCGCTGTATTTTGCTCGCCGATAAGCGTACAAATATCTCTAACTGCTCATATGCTTTACTTCCTCCCAAAAAGTCTTGATGTCAAACCATCAGCATTTCTACAATGGAGGAGGGAGAGGAGGTAAGGTTGGATGAAGGAGTAAAAGAGGTTCTACTGGTTTTGTTCAACCACACTGTCTCTGTCTCTTTGTACTGTTTGAACAAAACAGGGGACATGTCTGTCTCCAAGAGCACAGTACTTGAATATCCCTGACGGAAATTCCCACTGCATGCTACGTTCATGTAGCACGCATGTAACATGGTGACATGTGCTTGTGGTGATTTGCTTGAGGCGTTTCTCTTTTGCCACACTGGTGGTTGCGTCCGATGATTGTCTGTCTGTAGGAATGGAGGTTTTCAATTTGTTGTCTTCCTGTACTTCCTGTCCATTTATGTCCGTACATCTCAGAACAGGATAATGAGGATGGGAATTAGAAAAATAACCATTTATTTTGATTGGAACCAGCCTTGGTATTCACTTTACTGGAGTAATATTAGGAAAACAAAATATACAGTTTTAGGATTATTAATCATTTAGATTTCCTTAGTTGTTCTTACATAGACAAGCTGTGAAGCCAGGTTTTGTTTTGTTGCTTTTTTTTTCTTGTTGAATGCTGAGATCATTAAACTGTAAAAAAACGACTTTCTACTGAAAATATTTAAACATCCTTAATGATCTTTCTTACTCCATTAGCTATTAGTTTTGTCTTGTTTTAAGCTTAATCTAACAGAATTTTGTCTAGATGTTTAGTGGTCAGGTTTATTAGTGTTAACTTAAACTTAAACTTAACTTTCTAATGAAAACAATCACTGATCATTAACTTTGTAAAATAAATTGGATAAAAATAAATAAAAATTAATGTAAATTTAAAAATAGTACTACTGATAGTACTGAAAATAGTTCTGAAAATTGAAAATGCTGAATGCTTGCTAATGGGGTAATAAAATATATTTAATGTTCCCAAAAATCAAGGCTTAATATCTTATGCAATATTCCTCTCAAGTAAAAAATGATCGCAAATATACACAGCTAAAGACAATAGATAAAAGTTGAGAGATGCCTACATGTACTGTATGTGGCAAGGGTATACAAATTATACAAAATCATTCACAATGTCCAGTCTGTATTCTCCTGTGTGGTGCATGATTGTGGCATGGGGTGCTGAGAATGATTGTTTTGTTTGTTCTGATGTTAATTATTTTCCTTTCAGGACTTTGTGTGCCCAAATTATACCCATTTACATCCCAGTACTGTTTGTCCAGCATGCAGCATTATGCAGTTTGTCTCTGACTCTGACCTTTTTCCAGTATGAAGTTTCTGTGTTCCTCAGGATGATTTAAAAAAAAAACAACAAAAAAAACCTTTGGCTATGTTGTCTGGTGTTTTCTGGAGCACAACTAGTTCTAGCATTGCATGGCTTTTACTGAGGCTTCAATGTGTTTGTAAAGAGAGGTGTTCTCTTTTTTCCAGCAAAGATGTCACGGAAATTAAGCTTGCCTACTGAGCTAAAGCCAGACTTGGGTAAGCCTTGACTTTGTGTTCATGCTACACAACTTTTGAATGTGGAGTCCATCAGCACATTATCAGAGTCTGAAGGGTCCACACGCTCACTTTCTTTGAACATCTCATGTCAGTTAGCCAAAGACTAAGGTTGTGTCAGGTTTCCTGCACTTTCAGAGTTCTGTATATGTTTATCAAAAGGCTTGTGAGTGTCTGGCACATCATGTCCAAAACCACAGATTTCCTTTTTATGTGGTCAGGGTTTTCTGTCAGTCTTCTCCACTTCAAGGCAGCTTTGCCAGTTCAGCATTTGCTGGTATTTAATTCAGTATCAATTTCAGTTCTGTCATCAGTTTCCAGCAGGAGAGTTTTTTTTTAAGGGAATTCCCTCAAGGAGTACTTTCTGGAATCGGCTGATTTGAAATGGAAATCAAATGTGTAGGTTGATGTAAAGATCTTTTCCTCACACATACAGTGTTGTTACTGTATATGAGAAACGTTATACAATTAATCGAATGTCAGGTAAACAAGACAGCTTAACATGTACACTGTTGTTCAAAAGTTTGGGGTGTGTATAATTGTTTTTGGTTTTTTTAAAGAATATTTTTATTCAGCAAGGACGCATTTAATTTAATACAGAATGACAACAAAGACATTCAAATACATGCTGGTCTTTCTATTCATATCGCTTCCCACAAAATATATTAAGCAGCACAATTGAAGACTAGTAATTCCTCTCATCACAGGAATAAATTTCATTTTTAAATTATATTTATAAAGAAAGCAGTTATTATAATTATAAAATTTCACAATACTACTGTCTCTTACTTCTAACTTCACTCATTTTGATCAATAAATGCAGCCATGGTGAGCATAAAAGATTTCTTTCAAAAACATCAGAAAATCTTACAGACCCCAAACTTTTTTAAATAACGAATATATAATTGTATATTCATGTAAACAAGATTATCTTTCACATGCTTCCATTATTTTATTTATTTATTGATATATATATATATATATATTTTAATTTCCAGACTGAACACATCTTGGAATGGGTGACCAGACGTCAAGTTTTTCCCAGAATAATCCCATTTTCAGATCTCTTTAATTTATTTTTGGAGGTGTTTTAGTAGAGCCAGTTTTCAAATAAATGAGGTTGGGTAAAAGGCTAAAATACGCAAGTGTTCCAGGAAAATAGGGCATCTGGTCATCCCAATCTTGGGAATTCCATTTGTCTCCATCACACTGGAGAGACTGCCTCATTTCCCACACTAAAGGTCATTTTCTCACCACTGAAGGATGTTGTATGTTTCAACTTGCTTTAACCACATCACCAAGGGGAAACCTCATTTCTGCACAAGGGGCTGTTTTGTTATGTGGAGTAATGATGTTAATCTGTCAGTTGTTGTCTTAGAGTGGGGGCTTTACCTTTCTGTGTTTTTCTCTCTACTGTCCTACTCTCTGTATGTCCCCCACGGGGTTCCATACCCCTAGACAACAGGGACAACTCCTTCAGCCGCTCGCGGAGCTCCAGCGTGACCAGTATTGACAAGGAATCACGAGAGGCCATCACATCTTTCTTTTTCTGTGAGACGTACACACGCAAAGCAGACGGCGGGCTCACACCTAGTCTGTGGGTTGGCACGTCCTTGGGCACAGTCCTGGCCATCTCCCTCAACATGCCCCCTGCTGGAGAGCAGAGGCTTCTGCAGCCAGTCATTGTCTCCCCTTGTGGTAAGTTAGCACATTTGAGGGTTAACATTTGAAGGTTTTACCCCTCCCCCGCCTTACTCTAACATCTCAACATCCTCCGCACAGGCACTCTTATCAGGTTGAAGGGTAGCGTCCTCCGGATGGCCTTCTTAGATTCTACAGGGTCTCTCCTCGCCTCTGCTTTTGAGCCGTGGTATGAACCCAACGCTCCAGCCAACGGAGAGGAGCGGGACAAGGTCCGTAAGAGACGGCCGGTGTCTGTATCCCCATCCACATCCCAGGAACTGAATGAAAACCAGTATGCCGTGGTGTGCTCTGAGAAACAGGCCAAAGTCATAGCCCTGCCCTCTCAGACCTGCGTATTCAAACACAACATCACCGAAGCATCTTTTGTGCTGCGGGCAGATGTGGTACAGATAAACGCTGGCATTTGTTTGGCTTGCTTCTGTGCCAATGGACACATCATGACCCTCAGGTGAGAGAGGATGCCCTTCAACATAAGACAAATGAGGATATTTAGACGCACTAATTTAGGACTGCATGTTGGGACGTGTAAATACATAAAAAAATTATGAAAATTAGAAAAACAGATATATATTATGTTATATATTAAATCATATTTTTTACACTATTAGATTGAAATTTAGCATGCATGGTTAAAAGTGTTTTTTAAAAGTCTTTAATACTCAACCAGGCTGCATTTATATAATCAAAAATACAGTAAAACAGTAAATTATAATTTAAAATGACTGTGTGTTTTAAATATATTTTAAAATGTAATCTATGTCGAGTGGTGGTAAAGCTGAATTTTCAGCAGCCCTCAGAAATCATTCTAATATGCGTATTTGCTGCTCAAGAAACATTTCTTATTGTGTATAACATATTTTAAATGCTGCTCTATTGAAGACTGCAACTGGGACTGCATGGTCTCTGGGATTTGTATGACTGAAGTGTGGAATTGCTCGTAGCTTGATATTGATATACTGTAGCAAGCTCAGTAAATTTGGAAATCAGGCTATTTTCAGAAAACAATTTTGTCGTCTTGCTCCACTGTTCAGCAAAGTCAGAGCCAGGGGGCATGTTGCTTTTGCAACACCGGTCTAATCATTGTATTGCTCTCTGAATCACTTTGGGTTATAAATCTTCAGAGAACAGAAAAGGGAGACAAACATCTACGTGACTGTCAGTAGGAAGGTCAAAGTTAACCATCAAACATGAAGACCTTGGGGGTATTATTGAGGATAACATCTAGAAAATCCTAAATGCTTGTTTCCCATAATTTAACAGCACATTCTGAAGGACAAAACAATCACTGCCACAGTCTGAACATTGCAGCTCTTGAATAATTGAGGAGATAAGATATTCCAAAGCTAAAGAAATGTCTCTCTGTGTCATGCTGTTTCAGTCTGCCAGGGTTGAGACCATTGCTGGATGTAAATTACCTACCCCTGACAGATATGAGGATAGCGAGAACGTTCTGCTTCTCCAACCTCGGCCAGGCCTTGTACCTGACCTCCCCTACTGAGATCCAGAGGATCACCTACAGCCAGGAGGTCTGTGAGAACTTACAGGTGAGCAAATTATTGCACAGTATTTACGAAGATGACGTTGATGATGAGGATGGCGGCAGTGGCTCAGTGGTTCATGTAGATTGTCTACAAACTGAAAGGTTGGTGGTTCGGTCCCCTGTTCCACCTGACCAAGTGTTGAAGTGTCCATGAGCAAGACATCTAACCCCAGCTGCTCCCGACGAGCTGGATGGCACTTTGCATGGCTGACACCACTGTCGGTGTATGAATGAGTGAGTGAATGGGTGAATGTGAGGAAAATGTAAAGCGCTTTGGTGACCATTTGGGTCTATTAAAGAAAGCGCTATATAAATGCAGTCCATTTCCCATTTACCATGATGATTCTTGGATTGTATAACAGGAGATGCTAGGTGAGCTGTTTACTCCAGTGGAGACACCTGAAGCTCCTAACAGGGGATTCTTTAAGGGTCTTTTCGGAGGAGGAGCACAGTCTCTAGACAGAGAAGATCTTTGTGAGTAATCTTTCATTAACACTCAGATGTGTGAAGTATCACTGTGGTAGAAATGTAGACCACAAACAGATGACCGTTTAGATGTAGGGAGGCTAGTTGTCAGTTTTTAGATTTATTTCTGAAAATCACAAATCCTAACATGTTGTTGGCCACGAAAAAACTATTGAAAATTATTAGACAGTAACAATGGAACCACTGACAGCATTTTCAGTCAAATATTTACATATTATGACCATTTTGAAACACAGTTAATGTAATAATTTTTAGTTTAATATTAGCTGTTTCATGATTTTTTTTTTTCATTTTAAAAGAATAATAGCTATTATTATTGATATATTCTATATTTAAAACGTGTGACAACCTGAGATTCATGAAAAATATTATAATGTAACTCTTGTCTGCATGTATGTCAGTTCATTTTAGTGTGGTGTTCACTTGTTTACCCATCAACTATTACAAAACTATAATGATTTTGTGAAAGAATTCACAAAAATTATTCAGATATATCAGTGTTTTTAACTAAGTGTTTGAAATCAACATACAATATCATATAAAAAAAATTTGCAGAGAAAATTTGACTCAAAAACTAAACTGAGTTCTAACATTACTAAAACTAACTTTTTACCCTCATCTAGTGGTGAAAATGTATATGACCATCCAGTGAATATTAGTTTCTGTTCCTCTCAAGTCCGATTTCGTTTTAACTCCTACGGTGGCCAGTGTAGTCCAAGATTAACACGGCTTCCAGTTCGACCTCATCCATGAGTGTTAACTCAAACGTGAACGCGAAAGGCGAAGCTTGAATTAATGGGTATGTCCCTCTTTGGCTAATGTACTTTCAAGATGGAGGGGCAACATGGCGACTGACATTAGAACCCCTTACCCGTATGTATTTTCAATGGCATATTATACACTCACGAGAATACTTTATTACTTGAACGAAGTAAATGCACATTAATGAGCACATATATTTTTGAAAGAACTAAGTGTTTTTAGCTAAGAATAAACTAAAAGAGTTACACAGAAAAGTTCAATCGAATATATATACAAAAACTAATACAAACAACAAATGACCAAACAATTTAAATGAAAACTAAAACCATACAAATAAATGCTAAATAAAAATGTTAATAAATACTAAAACAGTAAATAAATAGTACAAAAGTTACACAACAACTGACCCACATGTCATCTAGCTCAGTCTCCTCTGCCTCTTTGTTATCGTAATGAGCTCTGTTCTCAAAAGTGACATCTTAACTATGTGTGCTGTTCCCCAAACAAAAAGCGTGTTTGTTTCTGTTGTGCTGTCACTTCATTTGTAACATTCTCACCTTCTCTTTTTTTTGACACTCCGCTTCTGGATTTATGTTTCAGTCGGCGAGACAGGAGCCGGAAAAGCAGCTCGCAGTCTGGCTCAACACATTCCAGGTCCTGGGGGTATAGAAGGCATGAAGGGGGCAGCGTCAGGAATCGTGGGTGATCTAGCTCGAGCTCGGATAGCGTTGGACGAGAGAGGGCAAAAACTGAGTGAGGTGGAAGAGCGGACGGCAGCCATGATGGCCAGCGCTGACTCATTCTCCAAACACGCTCATGAGGTACAGCGTTCCCACCGCTGATGCCAATAACAGATGAATCCCTTCTTAAAAATAGCTAAACGTTTATGTATTACATAAATGTTGTTTATGCGCATTACAATCAGGTTGAAGCTGAACCAGCATTGTAGCAGTACGATTGGCATCTCTAACTTTGATCTTTTTTTTTTTTTTACTGTTTTTCCTCCCCGCTGCAGATGATGCTAAAGTGTAAGGATAAGAAATGGTACCAGTTCTGATCTCCGCAAACAGCAGAGCCCAAAGGGACTCAGGAGTTCTCCTACACAGCCTTGTTCATCCGTAATCCTTTTTTCCCACTCTCATCTTTATCTCTCCTCTGCTGGACCAGTGGGATTCCTCGCTCTTTCCTAGCACAATATTAAATACAGTCTGCTTACAGAACTGAGGCACAGACTGAGAGCGGCCCCAATCTGAGGAATGCCATATACCACGATGGCATCCACTCTTCGGTTTTCGTTTGTTCGTTTAATATCGCCAATCCTCTCTCATGGCGGCTGGGCTTTGTAGGCCCTGAAATTCCATTTCTTCTCTCAGTCTTTGAAATGTTTTTGTGCTGTTGTTTTTTTGGAATCACGTCCTGCCTCCCACATCGGAGAGTAGTAAGTAGTCGAAAAAAAGACAAAGAGACTAAACAAAAAAAAATACAACTAAACAACAAACATAAAAAAATAAAAAAAAGAAGTATATATACATAATTCTATATAAATCTCCATCAAAGTCTGTAAAAATGCCATACTGTCATAACTGAAACTAAAATACGAAGACACCAGGTGAAGCATGGGAAGAGCTCCATTCACAGGAAATGATGTTTTAACGTGGAGGAGTCAAACCTTTCAGAAGAAGAGAGAACATCTCCCTTCTCCAAAAATTTACTCAGTATATTCCTGTAACATTTCCCAAATTATACCTTTTGCTTTAATTATTATTATTTGAATATTTATTTATTTATTTATTATTTTATTTATTTATTTAGCAAAATGTAAATGTCTGCTTAAATATAAAATGCTTTTTGGTGATCTTTTTACGAAATTATTGTGAATATCAGTACAATAACGCTTTACATTAAAGTACCATCTTGAGGGTTTCAAATAAGTTGACATGATTTAAAGGTGCCATCTTGCACATAAAATCAAATCATATTCCATATTCCATAACAGATGGGGGCAGTATACCTCCAGAAAGTGAGTTGTGCCACGGCCGCGCGCACTCTCACGTCTTCAAACAACACGAGCGAGCGCTGTTTTGCACTCTCTTTCTCGCACATATTATTCAAATCATTTGACACGATAGTAAAAGGTAGGAAGACCGCAGTTTCACGTTGAGCATTTGGAGATTTTTAGAGATCAGAGACTCAATGAACAACATCTCAACACTAAATGATGAAGACCGTCTCATAGACACCTGTCTCAAAAACAAGCTGCTGCATTTCGACAATATGGGAAAATAAAAGCCTGGGCTATTATTTTAAGTTTACGGTATTCGTTTTGTTCTTATTACATTTTTATTGTTAGTTTTAATTAATTTGACAGATAGCATTCGCTGATGTTGATCAAGCTAGCGCCATTCAGAGCTGCCAACTCTCACGAATTCACCGTGAGACACACGCAATTCAAACTTAGGAAGCAGGTTAGTTAAGCTCTCAGATTCTGTCAATATTTGTTTATTATGCAATTCAAACAATAAATACCGTTTTGGCACTTGTACATGTTACACCACAGATCCCTAGCGCACGTGAACCGATCATCTCTACTAGCTAATGGAAAAAGAACATGAACACTGTTGAAAGATACAGAATGCTACGACTTACCAAAATGTATTCCTCATGCATAATGAACTCATGAATTTGAACTCGTCGCTGAAATGAAATGTAGTAGTGGGCTGTATTTTCACACGACTGACATCAGGTTCAAGTACACACACAAACCGGCGCGACTTACTCGTGTACTGCAGTTTGGCTGGTGGTAATGTTGCCCGCCCGCATACCGCCTCCCATGGCCGAAACTGGTATTACGACACCTGCCGGGCCGGGGCTAGTAATTTAGCATGCTAATTAAGGTTTATATCTCAGCAGCACTATAACTTGTCAGTTTTTTAATGACATCATTGCACTTATTTCTTCTCATTCTATTGATGCGTGTAGCTCATTTTTTGATATTTTTACCTCAATTATTACATATGGCACCTTTAACTAATATAAATAACTATTTGTAAACCAACTGTGAGTGATTTAATGATGGTATTTTCATGTAATCCATTATACAGATGTTTGAACTTTCTGTGAAACTCCTTACAGGAAATATCTGGTCTGGACAGAGTTGTGGAAGAAAGTAGGCAAAACTAAGGTTTAAAACTATCCATCTTTTTCGGGGGGTAGAAAGCCATATAGATAGACCTCAACCGCTAACATTTGTTGAGACTGAAAATGACGTCGCAGTCTCTTTAGTGTTGGATCTGGGATTTGATTTTGTCCATTAGACCAGCTTTCTCATCCCTTCATACTGCATAGATTAAACAGCTTGAACGTGTACAGATTGTACTTCGGTCCACGTTTCATTTGTTATATAAAAAGCACTTATACTGTTGGAAATGGCTATATCGGCTTACCTGGAAATTTGGACCGGTTTTCCAGCTGTAACCTGTGGTGACTTGAGGCTTGATTATTGACCTGAAAAATAGGGTTGAATGCGTTCACTGGGTTGGGAACAATATTCATTATAGTTCTGAATGTCAGGAAGACATCGTCTAACAAGTTTGTATCTGTCGGTACTGGTTTCACACTGGTGCTTCATGCGTAATGTGGTAAATGCGCAACGTACTTCAGTCGTCATCTGTGAAAACACCTACAATGAGTGTTAGCAGTACATTCAAAACCAGAAAACTAGAAAGTAACACTAAACACACACACACACAAAAAGTGTACGGTCAATGTCTTTCTTGTCCCATTTCTCCCTTGAAACCACATTTTAGTGCCATTATATTTATTTGTGGTTTGCAAGAAATGCTGCTATATATGTTGCATTGATCACGTGATCCATCGTCATCCAAGATACTGATTCTCACTCGCCTCTCTGCCCAAAGTGTTTTGCCATTCTGTGAATGAAGTAGTTCGACAATCTGGGAGCGTCAATCGCGAGTGGGCGTGGCCACACCGACCCTAAGACAGTTGCCATATCTTTTCAAACGCCAAAGATTTTCTTTCATTGAGTTCTGTATTCCATTCGACAGCTGTTTGTGTCTGAAGTACCACTGCATCCAGTAACAGTGTTGAGGACTTTTCTGATGTTTTTGGCTGTGTGCTAGTCTGCCTTTCGTGTGTTTCGTATGCCGTACTCCAAACAAAGAAAAACGTGGGGGGAAAAAAGAATTACAAAACAAATGAAGCCAATCTCTCTCAGACTCTAAATGTTTCTCTGTGTTGGACTCTATATTCTCTGTAGATGTGTTTTCATGCCATGGTGTTATAGTGTTTCTGAAGACCGGGTTTGTTTTTGAATATCTCGCTCGTATGTCATCTCGCCTGATTAACTAATTCAATTATATTTGTACGATGTGTATTTTTCTCTGCAGTACTGTATTTCCCTGAATAGATATCCTTGTCATATTTTTAATCATCGATTATTACAAAATTATTTTTATATATGCTTTGAGGAGGACGTATTTTGAGCTCATTGCGCTCTGTCAATTGTCTTCATGTCTTTGTTTTCTGCTGTGTAATCTGTTCGTTCAATTAAACATGAGTGAGTGAGTGAGTGAGTGAGCATTCACTTAAAATTCCTGCATACAAGAATTATGTGAGAATGCGTCTTCAGAGGACCGGTTCATTGTTTGAAAAAAAAAGAAGAAAAAAACATTTGTTTATGTGTGTTCGATTACATTTTAAGCCCCAACATGGTTGGTATTTACAATTTAAAACCAAAAATTACTTTTCAACATGTAGGCTCGTGTTCGATTGGTTACTCACAAGATAATTCCAGGAAAGATTTGATGTCCTCCTAGGTTGCTATTTTGTCATTGTCAGTCGATAAACAGAAGTATCCAATCAGCCGTGTTGAACTGTAATGCTGTAAATGTCAGTAATAAGTGTTCAAACTCATTTATTGATCACACCTTTAGTTCATTCATGTCTGTTTCATAGAGAGTCACTTTGAATGTGAACCTGGTTGTTTGCCCTTTGTAATCTTTCATGAATAAGGAGGAAAAAAAGGTTCCTGTTGCTTTCTTGGCTTTAATTTCGTCTTTTCATTTTGTAATGTTTCATGTTGACTTTAAGTGAATCGTTTTATTTGTCTCAGACAGAACATTCTTACCTGAAATATTACACTTTTAACATGCAGAAGAGCCTCATTCATTTTCTGTCCTGAATATAACGTTTATCAGTGGGTTGCAGTATTTTCTCATTGTAGCCAATTTCTTGTACAGTTTTATGCAAATTTCACATGGATGTTTATGACTATCTGCTGCCACAAACGATTTAGAATTTCTGTAGATAGAAATTACTGTGCAATGGAAAATAAAACTATTGAAAAATCTTTTCTGTGTTTTCTGGCTCATGGTTCTAGTTCTTTAAATTGTTCTATTTTATTAAATGTATATGTATGTAATGTAATGTCGGATGGCACCTTTTGTGAAAATATCACAAAAGTTTTATATAGGCCTATGTGATTTGTAAAGAGTTGCACTGTTTGCTGAGATGGGTTGGACACTGAAGCCAGACCACGGCCACTACAATGATGTCATACAAATTAAAGGCCTGTTTAAATGCCTTGAAATGCACAGCATTATACAGTGTGTTGATGCAATTTCCACTGAATCAGGAAGAAAGGGCGGGACATATCGAATAGCGTCCTTCCCTTTTTTTAAATAGCCAATAGCATTTAGTTTAGTCGGCCAGAGCTGTTGAGCTCAGTAAAGCTGCAGTTTCCTCCTATTTAACAATTTCTCCTCCTAATCTCCTTAATTTCACTTTAAAATATAGCATTCTGTGCATTTTTTTCAGAATTCTCTTTTATGTTTTGTGGAATGCTCCAACTAGCGTATATGAGCTGCTCTGTGCTATCATATCTCTGGACCAGCGCAGATGTGACTTAATTCGCCTCAATGGAAATACTGTCTAAATCATTCCCTATCTGATTAGAAAATAGTAAATGTGTGATCAAATGATATTTTGACTTGACATTTTAACCACAGCTGCTTCTGTTTATACTGTAATGTAGGGGGTGGGATACCTTAGAGAGCATTTGATTGGACAGAAAATCTGATGAGAAGCTGAAGTGCAGAGTGATGTCATCAAAATCATTGAATCATATTGGCAGAAATGAGAGACTGTACGTTTTAAATGCTTATATCTTCTAAATGTGGATTTTGTCATTGTTTTAAAGCTCACTAGATTATAGATAACAGCAAGGCTAACATATTCATACTAAAAGCAAAAAATCTTTCATTTTAATTTCCAAAATGACAAAGACCTTTGAAAATGGATATATATCAGACAAAAAAGAACAATAATTTTAAACTTTACTGGTTAAGAAATTGTAAAAAAAAACAACAAACAAACAAACAAACAAAAAAAACAACAATATTTTTCTTTTTCCGCAGTGCATTTTTAAAAGCATGGAGGCTCATTTTTTCTACTACCAATTTAATATCCAAATTTCACCACCAAGCATTATTGGCCATCACAATTTTTTTCTCCATAATTGTGGAACAATTGCCTCATTTTATAAGCAATAAATCCTTATTTTTTTTGTGCAAATGTTTTGGAAAAAAACATTTGCACAACTGGATATATTTGATTAAAATCGAAACATTTTATCCTGAAGACTTTGAGTTTTTACAATTTTAAGCTATTCCAAATGAATGAAAACATTTCATGAAAACTCACCTTACTTTTGGAAGAAACAAAATTTCCTGAGCTAATAAATAATTGATGGTATCAAACCATTTTCTCCATAATGGAGATCTCTTATATTTATTGTAAGCATGCATGGTTAAATCCACATGTTGTATTTTGAAAAAAAAAAAAAAAAAAACTCCTTAATGTTTAAAACTAAATAAATGATTAAGTTTAAATTCTTTTCAATGCAGTGTCTGTTACATTCTACTGATGTATTTAAAGGGGAATCAATCAGGAAAATGATTTGTCTTATTTACGTCTCACTTTTGCTTTATCATTTTCTCACTGATTATATGATACAATATGGATATAGTATTTCAAAGAAATATATGAAAAGAATGTTGTTACACTATAAAAGGCCACAAGGAGGGGTAGTAAGACAAGGAAAATGTTGCTCTGAGGCACTACTCTGAATGAGAAAATGAAGAAAGTGAGGATAAAATTAGCAGGTTTAATTTGAAACACAAACCAATTTAAAAAAGTTGCATGCTTTTTAAGCTTTTCATCTAATATCTTAAAGAATATGTTTCAGTAGTTATCAAAGGAACATTTTTAATAGTTTTAGTTTATGATAACAACACTGTTTAAGGCCAATAGTGTACACTGGTGTTTTGTCTGTAGACCAGTGATTTTTAATCTTTTAAAGATAACGTCACAGTTCTATTTATTTATTTATTTTGACAGTTTTCCTCTAGATTTTTCAACCCCCTGATCCCAACACCCTCCACCCCAGACTAAAGAGCAAAATAATATCTGTTTTACGCGATTTGAAGGAAGGGGGCACCATAAGACTGTACCACATCACGTACAGCAGCGCTTCTGCTTCAAATCCTATTACAGCATCATAGAGGAGACACGCGCTCCTGCGCAACACGCACAGCAGACAGCAGCACACAGTTACCTCGCGCGCACCTTTACCTGAAAGTCACAAAGTTTTAGATTAAAACGACACAAGAATACATTCTACCTATTTGTTTTAAGAAACGCCATGACAGGGTTTCATTTATCTCAAACTCTGACAAACTGACAGTTTTGACAGCGCGTGCTCAGATTCAAACCGCGTCTGCTTACCAACCGTCGCCTCGTTGAGGAAAGCCGATCTTTTGCTACGCCAACGTGATTACGCTGCTCAGCTAATATTGGCTAGAAGTCTGAAACCACATGTGCTCGTCTCCAAACCGGAGAGACGCGGTTTCATTTGTCTTCAGAGAGGAAAAGAGTTGGCTTTAAGCCGTAGTGACAGACACAAGGGAAGGACGGTCTCGTGAGAGCGCTGGAGAAGACCATTGGAAATCCACGCGGTGCGTAAAATTCACGTCTATTCTTGGCACTGCTGTGGGAACAGTAGAAATAAACGGGAGGAAAATGTAGTCTTTGTGGATGGTTATCAGTATAGCCACTTTTGACGCCAACCAACCATTCCCGGTGAAGGGGGGCGGTAGTTGTGGAGTAGCCTAGCGTATACAGCAATGCCAAGTTGAAGGGTCTCGACTCTCGAGTATTGCCAGTATTGATAAACGCTGAAGTGCCCTGCGCCGTCTTTATTATCATTCATGTTCTCTTGGATATTTTCTAAGCATCTCCTGCTGCCAGAAAGTGGAGAGAAACACTTAATGAAGATGACGCTTTGACTAGGATATTTATATAAACCGCGGGCGCACGCGCTGTCAGTCACCTGCTCACAAAGGTAGGTCTCACCTTTACGTTTAAACAGCATTCAAAATGATGGCCAACGGGCCCAACATCGTCTACGAATGGCTGAAAACCCTTCAACTGTGTCAGTATGTCGAGGCTTTTGTGGACAACGGATACGACGACTTGGAAGTTTGCAAACAAATCGGAGACCCGGACTTGGATGCCATCGGGGTTTTCATCCCGCACCACCGCCAGCGGATTCACGATGCGGTGCAAAGGTTAAAAGACGAAGATAAGGAGACGGCTACCGGGCTTTATTTTACCCTGGAGCCGATGCACCCGGTTTCACCTATCTACACGAGTCGCATGGTAGAGCAATCTGAGTCTAGGCTGCGGAGCTCCAGGTCATGGACTGAGCAGAGCAGTGGTAGACCCGTGCGCAGCGTGGGGTACATGAGGGCGTCCAGGAATCTGACGCTGGGGAACCGCAAGGAGCTGGAAATCTACCCCAAACTGAAGCTGAAGATAATGATCAGGGATAAACTCATTAGGGACGGGATAAACCTTGCCAGGCAGCCATACTCTAATAAGGTGAGTAGTTGTTGTGTTTACTTTTTATCCCGCGTCGGTATAAACCACGTGGCTTGTCCTTGAATCAGAGCTTTGGATTCTAAACAGCCTCTGTTCAAGACAACACGCTAAATAGGATTAGAACCTCATGCGAGTCTAGGATGTGATTAGAAGACGAGGGTCATATTTGCTGTTTGGTTTGGATGCAGGGACATAGAGGTTTGATGACTGAAACATTGACCTAATTTGGTTTCCAAAATATGATCAATAGTTTACTGACCGAATTTGGACTCACCATGCGTTTCTAATGGCTTTTTGGGATCAGTAGGTCAGCTACCCATTGATTTGCCTGTGGAGGAAATGCCTTCATACAGCATTCACCATTCCACATAACAACAGTGTACCTGACACAAGCTGGAAGTTCATGGTGGGAACAGAATGAAAAAAAAGAAAGCCTCTGAGAGGTTCGGTTGGTTTGTGAATGTTGCAATCCTGTATCAGATTAAGTATTCATTATACACTATTATAGGGATTTAATTAGGGGGATATTGAGGTAGTAATAGGATTTATAGGCTATGTACAACAACTTAATACTCTTAGATGATCCCTGTCTTCAAAGATGTTTGAGTTCACACCACAGTGTTTGCCTTTTGGAAAAAATAATCTATTTTAGCATTTTTTAGTTCTCAGTGGCTAGGTAGTAAAATTACTCTGTTTCCAGATTTTTTTTTTTTTTTTTACACTTTTAGAGGCTGTAATTTTTAAAAGTGTCATCCTGCTCCTCTTTATCCATTTACTGGAATGAATTATCAGATATTTGTATTATTTTAGGATTGTACAGATAGTTACATTATACTTGTGTACTGTATACAACAAGGTTTCGATTGATTTTGATTAAAGTAATGTAGAATATTAATGACAAATCAGTTATTAAGTCACTGAATCCATGGACATTAGTCCAGACGAGAGTGAAAACTATATGACAAATTTTAATAATAAGCACAGATGAAATATTATACTGACCTAAAGGGGTCAGATAGTGCCATTTTCATACAAGTTAAATTGATTCTTTAGGGTCTAAATGAAAAGTTTACTTAAATTAAATTTTCAGTATTGTAAAAAAACACTCATTTTACCTGGTCAAAAACATCTCTATTTTCTGCACGCCGTTTCAGTGCATATGCCCTTAAATGATTATGAGCTTCGCTCACTCCACCCCTTTGTTCTGTGGGGCGTTTTGACACAACGCACGTGTTGCCTGAACAACAGGGTATGTTTTGGAGAAAGAATGGCAGCGGGACTCTCCGTGGGCACATTTGTGCAATCGTATCAGTTTAAACCGGAGTCGGACCTGGAACCAGATGACGGCTGCAAAGAATTTAGACAATTAAGTCTCGAACGCTGATGTGTTGAAACGCTGCTTTCAATCAACAGTCGTTGGAGGGGTGTCTGACCATGTGACGTCACACGGTCGAACGGCTCGATTTGAGACTGGGAAAAACATATAGGCCTAAGGAGATTAAAACAAACCCTTTCACGATAGTTTGCCTGTATGACAGCATTGTGTACAGGACAGAACAAAATTTACCCAAGTGATTATTCGCTCACAATCTGCCCCTTCGGAGAGCTGATACTGTGACCGCATCTTTGTACTTCTTTGAGTTCATTGTAGATTTTACTGTCGTCTTGTTTTAGCAAAATAAATTAAGATTCTGATCCTCACACATCCATGCAAAGTATTTAAAATGGTTCATTTGTTTCAGTCTGTTCAGAAAGTTCCTTGTATGTGTCTTTTTACTTTGAAATGATAAGCTCACAACATATGGTCCCTCAGGCACTCATTGAACATATGTTTGGACAGAATGAACCACACAGTTGTTTGGAGTGTTCAATTCATTGTTGATTTACGAGGTAGCAGTTTTTTACGGTGTTAAATTAGGGAGGTAATTGTAATGTTTTCAGTTCCCATGTGTTTCTGAGATAGTGCTGAAGTCTTGTGTCAAAGCTTCACTGTTGTGGTACATCTGTAGACTGAAGTTTCAGTAGGCTAAGTAAACTTAAATGGTGTTGATGTATTTGTGTTGCTCTTAAGATTGGATTTCATCCATTGGGTGGAAGTCTTTTGTGTGATGTTATGCTGGTGGCTCTTCAAGTCCTCATGTGTCTAGGTACTGTGGCTAGTCATTGTGAAGTAGATTGTGGGAAACGGGTATGTAGTGTGTGAAATGCATGTTGCTGTGCAAATGATTTACTTGTCCTTGAGGAGATTTTTTCTGTGGCTAAGCAAAACAAGTTGTATGTACACACATGCAATGAAAACCGGCGTTAGTTTTCCTCACTTCTTGTTGGGTTGTTTATCCACAAATAGATTACAGTAGTTTAATGGCTTATTGTGGTGTTTTTGTTTATAGCTGACCTATGAAAACTCTCTACTAGCAGCTCTTAATAGATCCTTCAATAGGCTGTGGAATGTCATCCCTCACACTCCAGACCATACTCCTTTTTTATGACGCCACAAATGACCTAGGGGAGCAATAAATAGCCATAATGCTTTTCTTAACTACAAGAGATTTTTTTTAATGTCTTATCGGTTTTACTGACAGGATAGATCCATTAATGCATACTGAATCTGATACAAACACACAATGTTCATAAGTATCACTATTTTGTTAAAAAAGTAGGTTAGGTTCTTTATCCACCATCAGGCTCATGCTGACAGGCAGTACATATACCCTGAGCTCTCTGCATGGAGATAATATAGGGGTTCTTTTTTGTCCACTGGGAGAATGCTAGAGAAGTAAAAACCACAATCACACTGACTCTTCAACTTAATCTCCTTATGAAAAATGAAAGAAAATCCCTATTAAAAATAACTCTCCTTTTTCTTTTCTGTGTGCTTTCTGAAGAAGCATCATGCCTGTGCAGTCATCTTTACCAGGGGCCTCATGTATAAACGTTGCGTACGCACAAAATGGGCATAGAAATATGCGTACGCATTTTTCCACGTGCACATCGGGATTTATAAAAAATAAACTTGGCGTAAATAAGTGCGCACCGTAAGGATGCTCTTGACCGTGCGTACGCACTCTTTTAGAAGATTATGGGTTTTGGCGACACCGATGGTGAGCTGGAGTCAAATGTCTTTTTGCTCACTATTAGACAGAGAATCTAAAGAAAATTATACATCTACAGAAAGATAATACAAATATAATTTCACAAACCTATCACTTGAAGCAAACATCCATCCCTTCTTAAATGACCGCGCCAGCACGCGCGTTCCGTTTAGTGAAACTGACGCACATATAGCCTATAATCTAACGGCAGATGGAGTAAAACCGTAAATCTTCATTATGAGTCCAAATCATAAATACAGTCCATATTCACAATAATAGTTTAAATAAATAAAAGAATGGTACTATGTTTTACTTCTGATAGCCTATAAACATTTAGATTAAATATGCCATTCTCATTAATGGAGTTAAACTCTTAAACTACATGAAATCATTAGCCTACTGAGAAGTTACAATATATATATATATATATATATATATATTCAATAAATAGAAATAGACCTATTTGTTGTGGATACATTGCTTTTGAACACTTTTCTTCTGGCATGCTGTGTTTTAATGTTTTAACTACAGATTGTCTGAGAAAACTGTTTCGTGCAAATAATGCACAACCATGTCTATCTCTTCCATTAAAATCTCTTCCATTATCCATTAAAATATAAATCAATTAAAAATACTATTTGGCCAGTGGAAAAGATTGAGAAAAACTTTCTCTGAAATGTATTTAACACTATTTGATTTATTCATTCAAAAACAAGGCAAGGATATAGGCTACAAAAAAAAAATGTTTGTAATAATGTGACGGCACATCCGCATTTCATATTTTCCTAACGTCTTGTACCGTTAAACTTGGTATCACGTGGATGAATAATCATATGCAAATGATATGCAGATGAGGATATGCATAGTAAAACTAGGCGTTGTAATCTCCATATATGGTTATTTCGGGGAGGAGACGCACGTGCGCATAATCTCCCGCTGACTGGGATTTATAAAGTGAATTCTGCGCAGGTTCTGGCGTACGAACGGTTTTATAAATCTGAAAACTTTTGTGCGTACGCAAATTCTGCCTTATGTGCGTACGCACACTTTAAGGATGAAATCTACGCAAAGTTTTATGCATGAGGCCCCAGGTGATTTGCTTTAAACTGAAAATTTTGTCATTACCTCCCAGGATGTTGCTCGAAACTCTTGATTTCTTGATAAATATATTATTTTTTTGTTTTGTTTTGTAGAACATTCAAAGAAAATTATTTAATGAGAAACTTAAAGCAGTGAAAACCGAAATTTCAATTTCAGAACTACAAGTGGCATTACATATGACACAAGTACAGTAGTTTTCAAAATTTTCTAGAAAAAATAATAAAACATAATATTGGTCTTATTGTGAATATTTTACTTTTTTCAGTTTTTTGGACGTTAAAACTCGATCTTCTGGTGAAATGACTTCTCTCTGGTATGTCGTACAATCGAGACGTTTTGTCCTGTTTTACTGCCACCACTTCCCTAAAAAATGGTGCATGCATGACACCCCTCTAGAGAGTGATTTTTCACTGTGTTGTGATGCTTCCAATATGGTTCATAGAAAGAGATGAGTTTTAGAGATGCATGTGGACAATAAGATTGTAGAAGGCTTATAGGCTAGCTGCTTTAAGTGATTTCATTTTGTATTCACTGTTGAGTTTGATTCTATAAGTGACAGCAAGCATTGCCATGTTATGTTAATGGAACTCATAACCTCACAGACTTTAAATCCCCCACTATTTGCCCACAGACCTCCGACAAAGCTTCTTTCCATTAGACAGCTCTGTCAGTTTTTATTTGAGTTGAACTTCAGTCAGTGTGCTCAGCCATGGACAGAACATAATTGTCGGATTACTCATATGGATTTTATATTAACAGAAATTGATACTTGGAGATTCACAGTCGATAGTGTTTGCTTTGTCTTTA